GTAACGTTTAAGTCGGCACGACTAAGCTTGCATGAAGTTAGCTGCCGGTGTCCTGACTAAAGCTGAGGGGAGTGGTCCTACAAAGTAGGCTCTGAATCGACGAGTATGGTGTGCCAGGGTGCGTGAGATATATTTCATATGTAAAACTTAATCTGTTAGCTAAGGGACGTCCGTGGCCGAGTGGTTACGGTCGTTGACTTCAAAACCACTTGCCTCTCACCGCTGTAGGTTCTATTCTTTTATGTGAGAAAGTTATACAGCTCGGTGTCCGTGCCTGAAATTACTAATACCTATTTTGAGCCTTTATTTAGGAATTCAAACATACTATTCAATCATTTTCATGTATTTCACATAATGTATAAGTAATTTACTTGATGTGCCTTTTTAAGATGATTGGTTTCACTAACGTACACTAATGATACGGTTATCGAGATCAACACCATTCCATTAATATTTCCAACCATTTTCTACAATTCTTTGAAGGTTTGATGATGGTTAAAAATAACAATTTAGTACTGCAGAATAATTACTTGTAATTGATAAAGTCTTGTGATTCACCCCTTTAACACTGAGTTAGTATAATAATTACTTCTTATAAAAGTTTCGAACATCAGATATCAAAGTGATGTTCTGTTTATTTCTAAATGCTACTAAAATAATAACAATAACAACAACAACAACAACAACAACAACAACAACAATAATAATAATTTTATTTAAAGAAGTCAACACATGAAGATATACCATCGTAGACAACAAATAACATTTCTTAATTTTAAATGTGACCTTCTAAACAATATATAGAAACACAAATACAAAGCATCATATAAACAATAACAAATTAACAACAATTCCATTTAGATTTTTCCTATAACTTTTTTTTGGCAAACGCTCCTTTTAGATATTAAATATCGTTTATACAATTTTTATTTACAAATATTTTAAATAACAAAATTTAATGTACATGCATAATAAGTATTATAACATAATGACATAATGACAGAGTTATGAAGATATTTATTTGATCTCCAAGTTATGTTATTAATACTTATTTTTAAAAGCTGTCAGAGAATAAGAAGAACGTATATTAGATGGTATTCTATTCCAAATCTTTACGTTTACATAATAAATGTTATGATTATCGTCTGTAACGGCACATTAAGAACAATTCTATAACTCTTATAAAGAGTATAAAAAATAAATTTGATTCTTCTAAGCTAATCATTTTCTAATTAATTGTTCTCTATTCCACTGGCAAAAAAAAAAAGAAAGAAAAAAGAAAAAAAGCAACTCCAACAACATTTTATTATAATCTAAGTGTTGTGCGTGCATGTTACAGTATAAAACCATTAAGTCATTTAAAGGAAAAATTGGTTTGTTTTATATTAAAAAAAATTAAATAAATCATATTTCATTAGTCAATACCAACTATTATATTGTCACCCATGCTCCGCTTATGACAATGTGATGTAGATTGTGGAATTTGTATGTATGTATGTATTCTAGGCTTAATGAGGGTCCAGGCACTGAGAGTACGGACCCCGAATTGTGGAAGTTATTGTCCATCCTACTGTTTCTAGTATCAACGGTCACATGTTACAATTCAAATGACTGAATGTTTGTTTTAGTAAAAAATAAATAAATATATATTTTGTTTTCATTAGCCTACACGGCATCAAATTACAATAAAAGTCATGAAAATAGCTCTCATAATTCTTTTGCGTAAACGAAAAATATATTAATTTATTAATCCATCTTACTAAAATGTTAAATACTTTTAAAATGGTAGTAAATTTTAACCAACATTTGATAAATAACTTTTCTATTTTCCACATAAGTTGAAAATAAAAGTCCTGTTGAATAGATGACTGTTTATTTACACGAAGATTTCATAAGATTGATCAACATTTGTAGCAGACGACTGTCCTTCAGGTTGACGTCGATCTTCAAATGAATCCTTGAATATACAAATAAGAAAAAAACATAGCACCAATTCAAGTCGTACACAAGTCTTATATCACGTATGTTTAAAAAAAGAAACATTTATAAATTATGTAATGACACACCAATGGCTTTTTCAAAGAGTTTCGTCAGTCTGATTTTGTGATTTTAATTGTACTTGTATAATATTTAGCTAATTCATAAATTAAGTGTTGAAGAGCATACTATCCAGAATACATTATGTTCATATGAAAGCATATATAATTTATAATCTAGTATTTAATGACATTCAGAATCGTGCAAATCACGGACTTTCTTTAACGTTTAAACAAATTATTTTCTGAATTTCTAAAATGATTGACCCTTTAAAAAGATTCCTTTTTTTGTCTAAATCATAGCATTCCCTTTAAAATTCTGAAATATTTTGGTTTATTTTAAGGGTAGTAAGAATAGTGAAATTTCCCCCCGGAAAATAAAAATCTTCATGGGTTTTAATGAAAAAAAAAACATCGTAAAAGCCAAACAAAAGTTAAAAAAAATACATACGCCAAGTTCCCTGCAGCATTTTGTTTCCACATTCACTTTTGCTGGGCACGGATAGGTGATACGCTCCAAACACTGTGTATTTCTATGTGACAGGGCTTTGTATAGGCTTTGCCATTCATTTTTGGTGATATCACAGGACTTTATAAAGTTTAGGAACCTGGGAACTTCAACATTTCTCTCACAAATAACAGGAATTATTTTCATCTGTATAGCCCCTGAAAATGAATAACTACATGTACTGGTTGGGGAGATAACTTCGGCTGGTTGATAAACTCGGCTTTTTAAAATTTAATCGAGTTATCGGAATTTTTAATCTAATCAAGCTCACCATCTCATACTATCGCTGGAATTCGACAATATCTGGAAATTTTGTCAAGTTTGGTAAGATATTTAAAAAATTACACAGACTTTTACCTGTTTGTTTACAAAACATGCCTATAAAAAGTACGGGAATCCCTTTGTTGTGCGCATGTGCAGCAGATGCTCATTTTGAGGCCCGCACAGGGGTACTTTTATATATTGACCGATAAGGCGATTACCGGTAAAGCAGACGACGTTTACGCATACATTTTGTAAATGAAATTCAGACTCACCTTTTTCTTGCTAACTCAGAAAAAAGGCTGATTACACAATTGTAATCTTTAAGTGGAAGGGATTGAAAGACTAATGTTAAATGCTCCTTTTATATGTTATTGTGTAGGTTGAATACCACTAAATTAATTTCTTCTGCACTCTGTTAAGCTAAGCAAATATAAATTTGAATCACTAATTCTTTAACTACATATTTCGTCATACGTTAATAAATGATAATGCATGTGTTTTTACGTAAAAATGATTTATATGTTACATAGTACGTTGCATATAAATATCGTGTTATCATAGATATTCATTAATTTATACTAATGTAATGCTCAAGAATTTTGGTAACAAATATTTTTTATTTGACATAAATGAACAGCAAAGTAATAATAAAATGTCTTAAAATGTTATTTTACGTTTTAACTTACTCATTTAAGAAGAAAAACAAAGAGCCGGAATTATCTACTCGCGCGCGTTAAAAATATCCTTTTTACGTACCAATTCCAGGGCCTCTCAAAATGACCCGTTATGTTTCTAAATATAAATTTTATGGTGATACCGGAAATTCGAAGAGCTGAAGTTTATTATGGTGCAACATTCATCAGAATACGAAAACAAATAAATGAAATATGCCCCCAAAACACTGATTTTCGGCCGAGTTTATCTCCCAAACCAGTATGGCATGAAAGTTATACAATAAACAAACATTACACGTGCACAGAACAACAGAACAGTACCCCGAGATAGACTCTCGCCAAAATGTGAAATGACGAGTCTTGCTATTAGATACACTTTTAATTGGTAGTGCGAGACTTCCCTGGATTTATGTCAAAACTAGTCCATTTAGGAACAAATTAGATGAAAAGGAAGGATATGTTCCTTCCAAATGCAGACGACTAATGATGTATAATGATAGAGATGTCAAGTGATGCACAAATAAATAATGTTTCTTTAAAGTATTCAGAGAAATTTAGTTTGAATTGACAAAATACTCAGACCTTACTTTGCTTGGAACGGGGAAAATGTGATATAATACGAACTAAACAATATCAATTTTATTGTGACATTTCTTAAATTATTCATATATTTTTTGCGTATTTTGATATCTTGAATTCAACTGGTGTGAAGGCGGGAAACTCTAAGCAAACCTATGTACATATAGATAACCAACCTGGATCAAGAGCATTTGCAAATCTGACCTGGAAATCACATTCTGGACTGGAACGAAATTCTCTAGTCAATACTATAATAACACGTCTACATCTGAAAAATCAAAGTGATCTCTATAGAACTTAAATCGATTGTGTTCAGTTACGTTTTATATCGTTATCTTAGGAGTTTTATAATATGTGCAAATGATCCCACTTTGATTAGTTACAACTCTTTGTAACAAAAAAGCGTGCTCTTCACTGAATGTAATGGCTTTGATTAATCAAATATATATTTATTACTTAAGGGGCTTAATGTCTGAGACTAAATCGACTTAGATAACTGAAGAGAACTAAATCGGTGTTTTTCTTGCACAACCTTTAGAGCAAAAAGACTGGAAATCATTTGAAGACACACCTTTTCTCAATAATGTGTGCAGAGAGCACATGTTTTGCCCCACCTGGCAGATCATCACGTCCCGGAACAAACAGGCTGAAATTTCTATTCTTCTCTAATTTCTGAATAAATCTCTTGGCAATATGAAAGTCGTCTTGTGCGAAACTCAGAAAGGCGTCGTACACTTTTGTATATCCTAGATTTACTAGTTACAAATTTGTCAATAGTTTTATAATGGAAAAAAACTTTCGTGGATTTACATATTTAATACTAAAACAGTTTGTGCAAATGTCTGTTTGTCTCCCTTAAGTATAAAGCTAGGGTCATATCTATCATTGAACTATTGTTTTATTTCTTCATTAATCAATGAAAAAATGATCAAACAAAGTGAAATACTGTTTCAATCTTAATAAGATTTTAAAAGCATACAGTTGACATTTTAACTTGGATATCTCGAATTTAGATAAAAAGACAGATATTTTGGGTAAAATTTAAAACTTAAACTTGTAAAAATGTATTGATTAAATGTTTCCTGTGTAATATAAGATCTTAGTACATAATGAGTTTTTACATGAACTATTCATTTAGATATAATATTTTAAACATATTTTCTCACAAGACACGAATACGTTTTGAGTTACAAATCTGCATGGTTGGTAATTCTATGTTAATACGTAATTACCTTCATCAAAATCTATGTCATCGTCTGTGTCTATATCTGAAAAAAAAATCTGTTTTCACAGTAATTTAACAACAACAAAAAAAACAACAACAACAACACAACAACAACAAACCCTGTACCTTTATGGCTTAACAACAATATTCTTGTTAAAGTTATGTTTGAAAAATACAACTAAAATGTAAAGGCAGTAGTGACAAAAGCAAAGTTTAAAACGTTCAATTTGTATCAACAGGAACATGTACATGAACATCTATATCTTCCTGGTATAAATGAACAGTCGTTTGACTCAAAATATATTTGTTAAAGACGAGTGTCAGTGACATTGCATTCCATACATATGAAGTCATTCTAATGATAATCAAGCACACACGACCTTAACTATAACAATCAATCACCATTTTTGTCAAGTTTGAAAATATTATACTCGATTGAACAGGTTATTACTTTGTATGTTAGCTAGCTAAGGTAAATACGCCGGGGGAAATGTTTCCTGTGTTTACTAGAGACATACACTGAGTAAATGTTGCTAGAAATTAAAAAAAAAGTACTCAGAGAAAATGTTTCCCGTGGTAGCGGTTTAAATTACAGTATAAAATCTAATTACCTCATTATTTCAACATTATTATTATTTTTTCCCAAAGTAATGATCTCCACTATAAGAGGAGCAACACCAACATATTAGTCTCACAAAGGGTATTGCAGTGTAGAGGTTATGTTGATGTTCGTAAGTGGTAAAAGGTGTCCCTTTAATCAAGGTCGCTGATGGAACATAACTTGTCCATATCATTCCATTTAATAATGGTCTATATAATCCCTTCCAACCTACCATAATCATTTGAACGTGACCGATAACTTAAAGGGAGACACAGGATCTTCGATTTGAATTTTACATCCAATGTTCTATAAATGTCCATTAAATGAATACACTATGCAGTCTAGAGAACATAAATTTTCTCCATTGAGCGACTTAGACTTGTTTCAATCTTACACTATCCACAATATCTGTTTTTTAACTTCCAGGGTTTGTTATTTTCAAATGATTTGTTTTAAAACTTCTCGTTAATCCTGTCTGCGTCTTCATTTCGTCCAACATATGTAGATTTATTTACTCACATTATATAGTATTTATACAGAAAAAAAAATGTTGAGATTTTTAAAAACGTCATTTTATCGTGACTTGAGTAATTATGATAAATTTGATATTTTGTCATTCATTTGACTGAGTATCCCTTTAAAATGTTAATTAAATATTTTACATACCTGGAATATGCCTGCTATATATATTCACTGAACTTCTTGTATTTTCAAATTTGTCTTCATAAACGACACAGTCATTAACTAGAATATTATAACTTAGTTAGAAAACAATTATATTAGAATACTTATTTCTGTGAATAATAAATGAGATAGAGAGAATGATAGATATTTAATATAATTAATAGTTTTCATGGCGACAACAACATTTATTACGATATTAATGATGATGTTAAATGTGTTAATTATTACACTGACCATAACTTTCTTAGAATCGGTGGAATCCATCATTGCGGCAACAACAACCGACAGTATTTACGATATTAATGATGATGTTAAAGGTGTTACCACAACTTTCGTAGAATCGGTGGATCCATCGTTGCGGCGCTGGAGCATTCGTCGCAGAATCAATGGATAAAAATAGAGAATACCATGCTTGTGTCTGATATTACACAATTTATAACCCCGAGCCTGATAAATATTATAATGTCGGACACTTGTATAGTATTCTATTTATCATGTTTTCAATTTTAATACCTGTTTCTTTCTTTAAATTTCAAATAAAACAAAAACCTGTCAAGAACCCCTCGTGTTCGTGCTGCGCTCAGTAATATGCCAAGGGTGATATCTATAAGAAATACAATGTAGTCCCAGATGTTTTAGTCAAATCTAAGAAAGACTCAAAATCTATTTGATTCGAAGTTAAGTTTTCAAACTAGTAAGAGGTAAAATATCACAGTATCTTCATTTTATTTCAATATATATTAATGAGATGTCTGATGAAGCTAAATTTACAAGACATGTACTTTATCAACAGGAATTAATGTAATGACATGATAAATATGACTTTTGTTGGCATCGGTAAGTTTGATGCCAAATTTTACTTTATATTTAAACGTTTCACTGGAACACCTTGAGATGGCAGCCCACATATAAACCCTTTGTAGCTCCTTACAAATTCACAGATTCCTTCACATTCATGTTATACACCGCTTCTGCGACGAAGGGAATAATAAACCGCTTCTGTCAAAATAAATATTTTTGTAAACATCCAACAACTTTATAATTTTTGTTTCTAACTACAAAAGGCAATGGTAATACAGTAAAACGTCATTGAGATAGGTAACTTTTCTAAGATTGGCAAATCCTCGCTTTGAGGAACAACATTTTTTGTAAAATATCCATCCCCCAAAACACTAAATACATTTGAGCCGTGTCATGACAAAACCAACATAATGGGTTTGCGACCAGCATGGATCCACACCAGCCTGCGCATCCACGCAGTCTGATCAGGATTCATATTGTTCACTATCAGTTTCTCTACTTGTAAAAGGGTTTGTAAGCGAACAGCATGGGTCCTGATCAGACTGCGCGGATGCCCATTATGTTTGTTTTGTCATGATGCGGCTCATTTTACTCTCACCCCAATTTGCGTGACTCATCCTAACAACACTTCTTCGTCCCATATTGATAAGGTCTCTCCGAAGATGTCCAACAGTACACTCTTTTCCAGCCAGCTCTGATACTAGTGATTCGACTGGATCAGGACTGTCACTGAGATCCTTAATCTCTTCCGGATGAAAGTTCTCCAGCTCGGCGATACCTGGTGAAAGAAAGAACATATAAATATTACACTTTTACAATAGAAATAGTGTTGCCTGGTGCACCATATGATTTTACGGTGTTCAGTTAAGGCTTGCGCGTTTTCTCTGAGAACGAAAAGAGCGAAAGATGACAGTACGATGGTGACAGTGTGACAGTACGATGATGACAATACGACTGTACGATGGCGAAACACGACCGCACGATAGTGACAGTCCGTTGCATTGCACTATCGGACTGGCACAATTAAGATGTTAAAATGGCGGGGGTGCGGAGCTAAAACTTGCTTATAAGCGGGGACGCGGGGCAAAGTTTAATGAATAAAATTTCGCCCCGCGGGGGGAGATTTTAGAAATAAAACGGCGGGGCGCAGAGCGAAATCACGCCCCAGCTAAATAACGTGTTTTCGCTTCGCGCCCTCGCCATTTTAATATGTTAATTGGCGGGTTGCGGGACAAAAATACCTTAATTAGCTGGGGTGCGCGGCGGAATTTAATTTATTTAACTTCGGCTCGCGCCCCCGCTTATAAGCGTGTTTTCGTCCCGCGACCCCGCCGTTTTATTTCTTAAATTTCGACCCGCGTCCCCGCGGGGCGAAGTTTTATATCTTAAATATCACCCCATCGCCCTCGATTAGTAGCGTGTTTTCGCGCCGCGCCCCACCATTTAAAGTTGTTAATTTTCGACTTTCGCTTTGCGGGGTCGTGGAGTGAAAAAACGAATGGAACAAATCAGTCACCTCACGTATGCATTTTATGATAATTCATGGAGGGGCACCTGTAGTTTTCCTCCTGCAGTAAAGCTGGACATATACTGTGTCGGTGTCACGTGAAAACTAACTCATACAAGCAAATTTTTTTTTGTCCTTTGAACAGCCGAACACAGACAAATTGTAAAATATTTTACCAATCTTGAAATCTATAAGCAGTAATAAGTAATAACACGTCACCGGTGTAAATTTTCTTGTCGCTTACAAATAGGGATTTCAAGGGTATTCCCCGGGTTTGTTTTGTTTAACACTTTTAATATTTGAATGAAATCTAAAAAAAAAACCAAACATGTTGACACACTTTATTTGGTTCATGTCATTTAAAAAAAAGATATTTATTTTATTTATTTATTTATTTAAGTCTCAATAACATATATGTATATATTAATCAATATAAAATTCAGAATAAAACAAATGGCATACATATATGAAACCAATCAAATATTTGATTTGCTAGAGACTATTAAAATACATTCTTAAAAAACTCTATCACATATTTTAATGACTACTCACTTAATGAACATATGCAGAAAAAGAAATGATAACACACAGATAATACAGTAATAAAAAGAAGAATCTCGTCTGCAGTGACAATGGGTATTCGGTCGTCACATTTTTTATTGTAGATCGAAATAATTAACTTCATAATTGACGCGATAATGGTGGATCGAATTAACTGACGTGATAATGATAGATTCCGTTGGCTGACGTGAAAATGATGGATTGCGTTGTCTGACGTGATAATGGTGGATCCCGTTGACGGAAGTGATAATGGTGGATCACGTTGATAGACTGACGTGATAATGGTGGAATCCGTTGACGGAAGTGATAATGGTGGATCACGTTGATAGACCGACGTGATAATAATGAATCGCGTTGATAGACTGACGTGCTAATGGTGGATCGCGTTGATAGACTGACGTGATAATGGTGGAATGCGTTAGTTGACGTGATAATGGTGGACCGCGTTGACTGACGTGATAATGGTGGATCCCGTTGACGGACGTGGTAATGGTGGATCGCGTTGATAGACTGACGTTATAACGGTGGATCGCGTTGACTGACGTGATAATGGTGGATGGCGTTGATAGACTGACGTGCTAATGGTGGATCGCGTTGAAAGTCTGACGTGCTAGTGGTGGATCGCGTTGATAGACTGACGTGATAATGGTGGATCGCGTTGATAGACTGACGTGAAAATGATGGATCGTGTTGACAGACGTGATAATGGTGGACCCCGTTGACAGACGTGATAATGGTGGACCCCGTTGACAGACGTGATAATGGTGGATTGCGTTGATTGAGTTGATTGACGTGACAATGGTGGATCCCGTTGACAGACGTGATAATGGTGGATCGTGTTCATTGACGTGATAATGGTGGATCGTGTTGACATACGTGATAATGATGGATCCCGTTGGATCTAACGTGATAAAAAACCCAAAAAAAAACAACAAAAAACAATGAAAAAACGGTACAAAACTTGTGGTCTTCATCATAATTTCCTGCGCATCAAAACTCCTCACCGTTGTTAAATAGCCGATAAACACCGCTCAGAGCGAAATTATTTCTTAAACATTCACTCAAAATTGATATTTTATATAACTCAGTTTAGAAAAAAAACACCTCATGTTGCGTTTCAGCGAGATACTAATTCTTATCATTTTATGTTGCTTAAAAGCATGCTTTTTTATTTTAAAGTTTACTTACATTACATTTGCTTTTTTTCTTTAATTTAAACACACATATGTATTGTTTACCTGTATAATCATCACAGACTTGTCTCCGGGATCCGTCACCCAACTCTACAAGTTTCCCGTTATTCTTTAATTTGTCTGATAAAATCCTACGTGAGGCGACATTTAACGCATCTACCGGTGTCCGTTCAAATAACATTTCTATATCATCTGTGCTCATTTTAGAACATGCCATTGTTATTAGTCCACATGTATGGCTACCTATTGCTTTCATTGAATGTCGACCAAAATTTCACAAAGAACTGAATTGTTAAACCAAAGATCATTTCTGACCAGGAAGTAAAAAAACCCAAAAAAACCAGAGAAAGTTAAAGAGCTATGGTAACATTGTATACACACCGGTCTCAAATATCGACCTGTGTCTTACGACGCATTACTCACCCCAAATGAGGGTAAAAATGACTCCGACAGAAAGAAGTCCGCTGGGGATGACAATGTTATTTTACAAACCACAATATATCTTTTCAAGTGATTAAAATCGTTTATTGCTTTCAAGGGATCACTGTTTTCCAGAGTTTAATATTGCAAGTGCAATATTTATAGTTCCAATTCAAATATTCAAAACTACTTTCACTTTCGGTTTTAATTTAAACAGTCGACGAAATACTATCACGGGTGTTGAACATGCCATTGTTATTAGTCCACATGTATGGCTACCTATTGCTTTCATTGAATGTCGACCAAAATTTCACAAAGAACTGAATTGTTAAACCAAAGATCATTTCTGACCAGGAAGTAAAAAAACCCCAAAAAACCAGAGAAAGTTAAAGAGCTATGGTATTGACAATCCCATACTGAATTGGATACAGAATTTTCTCACTAATAGGAGACAAAGGGTTTGTGTTGAAGATAGTTTTTCTACTTTGTCTAATATCACGTCATGAGTTCTCCAAGGTTCAGTCCTTGGTCCAGTTTTATTTATCATTTACATAAATTATACAGGAAGATTTATTCTCAAAACGATCAGTTGTTACTTCAACAAGACTTACTACGTTTATGTGATTGGTCAGCTAACTGGCTGCTTCAATTTTCCATTCCAAAATGTAAATCGATGCAGATTGGTAACGCCAAGCTTCAATATATCTACGAAATGAAAGACTCTAATAGTCAAAATATCTCTTTACCTAAAGTTGATAGTGAGAAATATTCCAAGATAATCTTAAATTTGATCAACATGTCTTAAATAATGTAAACCGTACAAAGAAATTAACGGGTTTAATAAAGAGAAGTTTTTCCTGCATGACAATACCTATGTTCTAAAAATCTTAGTAAAACTAGTTATTAAAACGTGATTCCTTTTATATTATCTTTATAAAACACGCCATCTTTTAAATTTACAAATCGTAATTTTCAATTTCTTAATTATAATTAAGGCCTTCCCAAACAAAATGGAAAAACAAAGATAGTTAATTATTGTGTACTATGTAACACATCTATTTGCCACTATCTATCACTATTAATTTCATTAGACCTTTGGACAGTTATAAACCAACTGATTATGCAGTTTAACATTGAAATCATTCAAGCATGTTGATAGATAAAGATCTCTGCCAAGGCCCCAGGCAGGAGATTAACAACTGGATGACAGCAATTAAAGATTTGATAAGGGAGTACACTACAGCCAATAAAGTTGGAAACTGACAAAAATATATTCCAGTCCAGCTGGTAAACGTATCTTTGGGCTGAGCTGGGGGGAGGGGGCGGGGGGCTGCATCCCTGAAGCCCGGGCCTGAATCCGCGACTGCTAAATGACGATATTTATTTTTACCTGTAGTAACTTCTCTCTTCCCTCGGTACGTGTACATCGTTGAGAAGACACAGGGCATCGGCAGATGATTGAAGAACCAATGCTACGTGTAAGACGGCAAGTTCGCATGTTTTCTTCAGCTTGGGGTAACGTTTAAGTCGGCACGACTAAGCTTGCATGAAGATAGCTGCCGGTGTCCTGACTAAAGCTGAGGGGAGTGGCCCTACAAAGTAGGCTCTGAATCGACGAGGATGGTGTGCAAGGGTGCTTGAGATATATTTCATATGTAAAACTTAATCTGTTAGCTAAGTGGTCGAGTGGTTACGGTCGTTGACTTCAAAACCACTTGCCTCTCACCGCTGTAGGTTCTATTGTTTTATGTGAGAAAGGCATACAGCTCGGTGTCCGTGCCTGAAATAACTAATGACTATTTTGAGCCTTTATTTAGGAATTCAGGCTATTTAATCATTTACATGCATTTCATGTATAAGTAATTTACATAAAATCTTACATGCGTTGTTACGTTAAATATTTTTTCTGAAATGAAAATGTTTTGTCATGGGACTCAGAAAATGATGATCCCGAATACAAAAAGTTTTCCTATGCTTTTTAAGATGATTTGTTTCACTAATGAACAATAATGATACGGTTATCGAGATCAATGCCATTCAATTAATATTTCCAACCATTTTCTACAGCTCTTTGAAAGTTTGATGATGGTTAGAAATAACAATTTAGTACTGAAGAATAATTTTACTTGGAACTCGGATTATTGATAAAGTCTTGTGATTCGTCCCTTTAACACTGAGTTAGTATAATAATTACTATAAAAGTTTTTCGAACATTAGATATCAAAGTGATGTTCGATTTATTTCTAAATGTTACTAAAATAATAACAATAACATAACAACAACAACAACAACAACAACAACAACAACAATAATAATTTTATTTAAAAAAGGCATCACATGAAGATATACCATCGTAGAAAAAACAAATAACATTTCTTAATTTTAAATGTGACCTTCTAAACAATATAAAGAATCACAAATACAAAACATCATAAAACAATAACAAGTTAACAACAATTCCATTAAGATTTTTCCTATAACTTTTTTTTGGCAAACGCTCCTTTTAGATATCAAAATATCATTTACAAATATTTTAACAAATATACATGCATAATAAGTATTATATTATAGTGCCATACTGAGTTATGAAGATATTTATTTGATCTGCGAGTTATGTTTTTTATAGTTATTTCTAAAAGATGTGAGAGAATGAGAAGAACGTATATTAGATGGTATTCTATTCCAAATCTTTACATTTACATAATAAAAGTTAGGATTATCGTCTGTTACGGCACATTAAGAACAGTTCTATAACTCTTATAAAGAGTATAAAAAATAAATTTGATTCTTCTAAGCTAATTATTTTCTAAATATTTGTTGGCAAAAAAAAAAAAAAAAAAAAAAAAAAGCAACAACAACATTTTATTATAATCTAACTTAACTGCTGTGCGTGCACGTTACAGTATAAAACCATTAAGTCATTTAAAGGAAAAATTGGTTTGTTTTATATTAAAAAAAGTTAAATAAATCATATTTCATTAGTCAATACCAACTATTATATTAATTGTCACCCATGCTCCGCTTATGACAATGTGATGTAGATTGTGGAATTTGTATGTATTTATGTATGTATGTATTCTAGGCTTAATGAGGGTCCAGGCACTGAGAGTACGGACCCCGAATTGTGGAATTTATTGTCCATCCTACTGTTTCTAGTATTGAAATATATTCAACGGTCACATGTTACAATTCAAATGACTGGATGTTAGTTTTAGTAAAAAAAATAAATAAAAAAATAAAAAAAAATTCATTAGCCTACACGGCATCAAATTACAATAAAAGTCATGAAAATAGCTCTCATAATTCTTTTGCGTAAACGAAAAATATATTAATTTATTAATCCATCTTACTAAAATGTTAAATACTTTTAAAATGGTAGTAAATTTTAACCAACATTTGATAAATAACTTTTCTATTTTCCACATAAGTTGAAAATAAAAGTCCTGTTGAATAGATGACTGTTTATTTACACGAAGATTTCATAAGATTGATCAACATTTGTAGCAGACGACTGTCCTTCAGGTTGACGTCGATCTTCAAATGAATCCTTGAATAAACAAATAAGAAAAAAACATAGCACCATAATATTATTCAAGTCGTACACAAGTATTATCACGTATGTTTAAAAAAAGAAACATTTATAAATTATGTAATGACACACCAATGGCTGTTTCAAAGAGTTTCGTCAGGCTGATTTTGTGATTTTATTAGTTCATTTACTTGTATAATAGCTAATTCACAAATTTAGTGTTGAAGAGCATACTGTTCAGAATATGTTCGTACGAAAGCATAATTTATAGACTACCATTACATAAGAGAAAACTTTTGTAAAAATCACGGTGTTTTTTTACGTTTACATACGTAGTTTGTTTTCCAAATTGATTTTTAAATATATTGCTTCGATTTGTCTCAAATTGATAGTATTCCTTTAAATTCTGATAATATTTTGGTTTATTCTAGGATAGTAATGAATGAGAAGAACATTTTCCCCTGGAAGTAACCAATACTGTCAGTGTCATATGAAAAAAAACCATCGTAAAAGCCTAACAAAATTTCAAAAATACATACACCAAGTTCCCTGCAGCATTTTGTTTCCACAGTTAGTTTTGCTGGGCACGGATAAGTGATACGCTCCAAACACTGTGTATTTCTATGAGACAGGGCTTTGTAAAGGCTTTGCCATTCATTTTTGGTGATATCACAGGACTTTATAAAGTTTAGGAACCTGGGAACTTCAACATTTCTCTCACAAATAACAGGAATTATTTTCATCTGTATAGCCCCTGAAAATTAATAACTACATGTATGGCGATGTTAATTATGAAAGTTATACAATAAACAAACATTACACGTGCACAGAACAACAGAACAGTACCCCGAGATAGACTCTCGCCAAAATGTCAAATGAAAAACGAGTCTTGCTATTAGCACAGTATTGCTTTGTTAACAAAAATTAATACACTTTAAATTGGTAGTGCGAGACTTCCATGGATTTAAATCAAAACCATGTACATTCTGGAACAAATTAAATGAAAAAAAGAAGCATCTGGCAATTATTCATTCCTTCCAAACGCAGAAGACTAATGATATATAATGGTAGTGATGTCAAGTGGTGCACAAATAAATATTTTTTCTTTAAAGTATTAAGAGAAATTTAGTTTGAATTATCAAAATACTCAGACCTTACTTTGCTTGGAACGGGGAAAATGTGATATAATACGAACTAAACAATATCAATTTTATTGTGACATTTCTTAAATTATTTATATATTTTTTGCGTATTTTGATATCTTGAATTCAACTGGTGTGAAGGCGGGAAACTCTACGCAAACCTATGTACATATAGAGAACCAACCTGGATCAAGAGCATTCGCAAATCTGACCTGGAAATCACATTCTGGACTGGAACGAAATTCTCGAGTCAATACTATAATAACACGTCTACATCTGAAAAATCAAATTGATATCGGCTTAACCAATTAAGTACTTTTATATAAGAACTTGAATCGATTGTGTTCAGTAACGTTTTATATCGTTATCTTAGGAGTTTTATAATATGTGCAAATGATCCCACTTTGATTAGTTACAACTCTTGGTAACAAAAACGCGTGCTCTTCACTGAATGTAATGGCTTTGATTAATCAAATATATATTTATTACTTAAGGGGCTTTATGCCTGAGACTAAATCGACTTAGATTACTGAAGAGAACTAAATCGGTGTTTTTCTTGCACAACCTTTAGAGCAAAAAGACTGGAAATCATTTGAAGACACACCTTTTCTCAATAACGTATGCAGAGAGCACATGTTTTGCCCCACCTGGTAGATCATCACGTCCCGGAACAAACAGGCTGAAATTTTTGTTCTTCTCTACTTTCTGAATAATTCTCTTGGCAATAGGAAAGTCTCCTTGTGCGAAGCTCAGAAAGGCGTCATACACTTTTGTATGTCCTAGATTTACTAGATACAAATTTGTCAATAGTTTTATAATGGAAAAAAAACTTTCGTGGATTTACATATTTAATACTAAAACAGTTTGTGCAAATGTCTGTTTGTCTCCCTTAAGTATAAAGCTAGTGTCATATCTATCATTAAACTATTGTTTTATTTCTGCATTAATCAATGAAAAAATGATCAAACAAAGTGAAATACTGTTTAAATCTTAATAAGATTTTAAAAGCATACAGTTGACATTTTGACTTGGATATCTCGAATTTAGATAAAAAGACAGATATTTTGGGTAAAATTTAAAACTTAAACTTGTTAAAATGTATTGATTAAATGTTTCCTGTGTAATATAAGATCTTAGTACATAATGATTTTTTTACATGAACTATTCATTTAGATATAATATTTTAAACATATTTTCTCACACGACACGACCAAATCTGCATGATTGGTAATTCTATATTAATTCGTACTTACCTTCATCAAAATCTATCTCATCGTCTATGTCAATATCTGAAAAATAAATAAATTGTTTTCTCAGTAATTTAACAACAACAAAACAAGCCCTGTATTTTTATGGCTTGACAACAATGTTCTTATTAAAGTTATGTTTGAAAAATACAACTAAATTGTAAAGGCAATAATGACAAAACCAGTTTAATTTTTGCGACGGACGCGCCCTCAGGCGCGTTCAGAGCTATTTCCAAGTTAAAATATGAACGTATTTGTTGATTGATAAAAACGCTGTAGCCCCGTAGTATTATTGCGCAATATGCAAATAAGTGTTGAAACGATCTACCGCTGTCGAAAAAGTATGACAGCAAATTATGCTATAATTAAGGTGTAAGCTCAATAATTCCTAGAAATTATAAGTAAGAAATAAATATTTCTCCATTAAACAAAACATTTTTATCAACAGATCAAAAGCTTTTCCTGACTCAGCAATTCTAGAATATCTCGCGCATTAATTACATAGGTCACGATATGAGTTAACCTGCTAATGTGATTTGTGAGAGATTATAAGAGATAACACTATTCTAAAAATAGATTTTACCCAATCACCACTACATCACCTGTGCTGACTTTCGGACAAGCGATTAGGTAGTATACATTATACATGTAATTAATCAGCGGATTCTTACTTTGTTTACTTGCAATACTTAATACACTTTTGAATTAATATTGGCATTAGTCAACAATAAATCTGTCAATAAAGTAAACACAAATATATGTGAAAATAGTGAGATGCGAGAAACAGGATACACTACTCTTACAAGATTAGATAAAATAGATTGCTCTACAAATCTCGAACTTGGTATGGAACAAATTGTCTCTGTTACATCTTTTGTGTTTTTTTTTCTTCTGAAAAAACCTCAATGTCTTTCCGGTTGCATGTCCGTCGCATTCAGTGCATTCAGCACTTTGATTTGTGTCAACAGGGATATGCACACAAAGATCTACACTTCCTGGTATAAATGAACCGTCGTTTGACTTAAAATATATTTGTTAAAGACGAGTGTCATTGACATTGCACTACATATATATATATGAGCCGCGTCATGACAAAACCAACATAGTGCGTTTGCGACCAGCATGGATCCAACCAGCCTGCGCATCCGCGCAGTTTGATCAGGATCCATGCTGTTCGCTATCAGTTTCTCTACTTGTAATAGGGTTTGTAAGCGAACAGCATGGATCCTGATCAGACTGCGCGGATGCGCAGGCTGGTCTGGATCCATGCTGGTCGCAAACGCATTACGTTGGTTTTGTCGTGACGCGGCTCATATGATGATCAAGCACACAATACCTTATCTAAAACAATCAATCACCATTTTTGTCAAGTTTGAAAATTTTATACTCGATTGCTTTGTATGTTAGCTAGCTAAGGTAAATATTCTTGTACGCTGGAGAAATGTTTCCTTTGTTTACTAGGGACATACACAGAGAAAATGTTGCTAGAAAAAATTTAAAAAAGATACTCAGAGAAAATGTTTTCCGTGATAGCGGTTTATATTACAGTATAAAAACTAATTACCTCATTACCTCATTATTTCAACAATATTATTATTTTTTCCCAAAGTAATGATCTCCACTATAAGAGGAGCAACACCAACATATTTGTCTCACAAAGGGTATTGCTGTGTAGAGGTTATGTTGATGTTCGTAAGTGGTAAAACGTGTCCCTTTAATCAAGGTCGCTGATGGAACATAACTTGTCCATATCATTCCATTTAATAATGGTCTATATTACCCCTTCCAACCAACCATAATCATTTGGACGCGACTGATAACTTAAAGGGGGACACAGGCAAAATTTTCATATCTTCGATTTGAATTTTACATCAAATGTTCTATAAATGTCCATTAAAGGAATACACTAAGCAGTCTAGAGAACATAAATTTTCTCCATTGAACGACTTGTTTCAATCTTACACTATCCACAATATTTTCTTTAACTTCCAGGGTTTGTTATTTTCAAATGATTTGTTTTAAAACTTCTCGTTAATCCTGTCTGCGTCTTCATTTCGTCCAACATATGTAGATTTATTTACTCACATTATATAGTATTTATGCAGAAAAAAAAATGTTGAGATTTTTAAAAACGTCATTTTATCGTGATTTGAGTAAATGTGATAAGTTTGATATTTTGTCATTCATGTGACTGAGTATCCCTTTAAAATGTTAATGAAATATTTTACATACCTGGAATATGCCTGCTATATATATTCACTGAACTTCTTGTATTTTCAAATTTGTCTTCATAAACGACGCAGTCATTTACTAGAATATTATAACTTAGTTAGAAAACAATTATATTAGAATACGTATTTATGTGAGTAATAAATGAGATAGAGAGAATGATAGATATTTAATATAATTAATAGTGTTCATGGCAACAACAACAGACAGTAATTACGATATTAATGATGATGTTAAAGGTATTAATTATTACAATGACCACAACTTTCTTAGAATCGGTGGATCCATCGTTGCGGCGCTGTCCAGAGCGTTCGTCGCAGAAGCAATGGATAAAAATAGAGAATACCATGCTTGTGTCTGATATTACACAATTTATAACCCCGAGCCTGATAAATATTATAATGTCAGACACTTGTTTAGTATTCTATTTATCATGTTTTCAATTTTAATACGCATTTCTTTCTCTAAAATTCAAATAAAACAAAAACCTGTCAAAAACCTCTCGAGTTCATGCTGCGCTCAGTAATATGCCAAGGGTTATATCTATAAAAAATAGTCCCAAATGTTTTAGTCAAATATAAGAAAGGAAATCAAAAAATCTAATCGATTCGAAGTTAAGTTTTCAAACTAGTAAGAGGTATCTCCATTTTATTTTAATTCGTCAAGTGCCCTAGATTCGTCCCTGCCCTTGATTCGTCACTATGTTTAATTACGTCACACAATCTTTTTAGGGGTACCAAAAAGGATGAGAAAATCAATATTACTGTGTAACATTTCATGTATCGGGAATTTTCATTTAGCAACAAGTTTTAGTCGGTAAATTAAGGATAAAATAAATAATAATCCAATTTTTTATAATCCTAAATGAATATTATCATAAATGTTGTTTTATTTCATTTTTATCGATTTTTTATCAAAAGTTTTTAACTGTCTGCTTTGTTTACATTTTAATGAATGGAAAATTCCTCAGAAACACGCTACCGGAAGTGAATATTTTAAGCAAGTGCGCGTTGCAGGTGCGTGTGACGACTCAAGGACCATTCAAAATGGCGGATTACAAGGTCAATGACCTTTATTTACTACGATTTATCGGTCATTGAATCTTTTATTGAAAATTAATAATGGAATAATGTGAAAATATTATAAATAAATTAACAAGTAAGACATTTTTATTTTGATTAATTTTCTTTTTAATCGTTTATATATCATTTGAAAGCTTAGGGTGTCGAATCATGGGCAGACAAGGATATGTATTAATGAGGTATCTAATAAAGCTAAAGTTACCAGACATGTGTCTAACGAAGCTAAAGTTACCAGACATGTGTCTGATGAAGCTAAATTTACCAGACATGTGTCTGATGAAGCTAAATTTACCAGACATGTGTCTGATGAAGCTAAATTTACCAGACATGTGTCTGATGAAGCTAAAGTTACCAGACATGTGTCTAACGAAGCTAAAGTTACCAGACATGTGTCTGATGAAGCTCAATTTACCAGACATGTGTCTGACGAAGCTAAAGTTACCAGACATGTGTCTAACGAAGCTAAATTTACCAGACATGTGTCTGATGAAGCTAAATTTACCAGACATGTGTCTGATGAAGCTAAAGTTACCAGACATGTGTCTGATGAAGCTAAAGTTACCAGACATGTGTCTAACGAAGCTAAATTTACCAGACATGTGTCTGATGAAGCTAAAGTTACCAGACATGTGTCTGATGAAGCTCAATTTACCAGACATGTGTCTGATGAAGCTCAATTTACCAGACATGTGTCTGATGAAGCTAAAGTTACCAGACATGTGTCTGATGAAGCTAAAGTTACCAGACATGTGTCTGATGAAGCTAAAGTTACCAGACATGTGTCTGATGAAGCTAAAGTTACCAGACATGTGTCTAACGAAGCTAAAGTTACCAGACATGTGTCTGATGAAGCTAAAGTTACCAGACATGTGTCTGATGAAGCTAAAGTTACCAGACATGTGTCTGATGAAGCTAAATTTACCAGACATGTGTCTAACGAAGCTAAAGTTACCAGACATGTGTCTGATGAAGCTCAATTTACCAGACATGTGTCTGATGAAGCTAAATTTACCAGACATGTGTCTGATGAAGCTAAATTTACCAGACATGTGTCTAACGAAGCTAAATTTACCAGACATGTGTCTGATGAAGCTAAAGTTACCAGACATGTGTCTAACGAAGCTAAAGTTACCAGACATGTGTCTAACGAAGCTAAAGTTACCAGACATGTGTCTGATGAAGCTAAAGTTACCAGACATGTGTCTAACGAAGCTAAATTTACCAGACATGTGTCTGATGAAGCTAAATTTACCAGACATGTGTCTGATGAAGCTAAATTTACCAGACATGTGTCTAACGAAGCTAAAGTTACCAGACATGTGTCTAACGAAGCTAAAGTTACCAGACATGTGTCTGATGAAGCTAAATTTACCAGACATGTGTCTAACGAAGCTAAAGTTACCAGACATGTGTCTGATGAAGCTAAATTTACCAGACATGCACTTTATCAACAGGAATTGATGTAATGACATAATAAATATGACTTTAGTTGGCATCGGTAAGTTTGATACCGAATTTTACTTTATATTTAAACGTTTTACTGGAACACCTTGAGACAGCAGCCCACATATAAACCCATTGCAGCTCCATACACATTCACAGATTTTCCAGATTCCTTCACATTCATGTTATACACCGCTTTTGCGACGAATGTTCACTGCTGCAGCGAATAATAAACCACTTCTGTCAAAATAAATATTTTTGTAAACCCTCCAACAACTCTTTATAAATTTTGCTTCTAACTACAAAGGGCAATTGTAATACAGTAAAACGTCATTGAGATAGGTAACTTTTCTAAGATTGGCAAATCCTCGCTTTGAGGAACAACATTTTTGTAAAATATCCATCCCCAAAACACTAAATACATTTAACACTCACCCCAATTTGCATGACTCATCCTTACAACACTTCTTCGTCCCATATTGATAAGGTCTCTCTTAAGATGTCCAACTGTACAATCTTTTCCAGCCATCTCTGATACTAGTGATTCGACTGGATCAGGACTGTCACTGATATCCCTAATTTCTTCCGGATGAAAATTCTCCAGCTCGGCGATACCTGGTGAAAGAGAGAACATATAAAGATTACACTTTTACAATAGAAATAGTGCACCATATGAACTTAGGGTGTTCAGTTAAGGTTTGCGCGTTTTCTCTGAGAACGAAAAGAGCGAAAGATGACAGTATGATGGTGACAGTGTGACAGTACGATGGTGACAGTAAGACAGTACGATGACAAAACACGACCGCACGATAGTGACAGTCCTTTGTACTGTAACTATCGTACTGTCACAATAAAGAAGTTAAAATGGCGGGATGCGGAGCTTAAACACGATTATTATAAGCGGGGACGTGAAATAAAATTTCGCCCAGCGGGGCGAGATTTAAGAAATTAAACGGCGCGAGTTAGCCTGTTTTCGCGCCGCGCCCCGCCATGTAAAGTTGTTTATGACTTTTCACTTGGCGGGGTCGCGGAGCGAAAACACGAATGGAACAAATCAGCCACCATACGTATGCACTTTTTGACAATGTACCCTCGACCTGTTCACATGATAATTGTTTATTCTATTTATTCGTCTCAGGTTAACTTTCTATGTTTTTGTTTATGTTTTTGTACTTTTAGTAGAAAACCGGAAATAATTATCTTAAAAATAATATACAATTTTTACATCATAGTAATAATTATATTTATGTCATTATTTGTATTTGGGAGTCCTTCGCCGCGAAGTTAAGAACCACATACACCTCATCGCTTTGGGTTCAAATCCCAACAAAGTTTTTGATTTTTTTTATGCGAGAAAGCTATCAAGCTAACTTATGGAGCGTCGGTGGCTCTACTCAGGAGCCCGTTCGTGCCTGAAGTAATTCACGGAGGGGCATCTGTGATTTTCCTCCTCCAGTAAAGCTGGAACGTCGCCATATGACCCACAGGTGAACGTCTCGTGGCCATGACTTACACTATACCCCCGTTCCCCCTCTACAACCAAAAACCCTTAAACATCATCCAAACATCATAAGTATTGACAAAAATAAAATTTATGAAAAAAAAAATATGACTCTAAAAAATAGATATATGGTCACGCGTCATGGCCACGAGACGTTCACCTGTAATATGACGTATACTGTGTATGTGTCACGTTAAACAAACTGATACAAGCACATCTTTTTTGTTCTTTGAACAGCCGAACACGGACACATTGTAAAAATATATTACCAATACGAAATAAACATCTTGAAATCTATATTATTTTTTGGTGCCCGCTATGCAAATAACACGTAACCGGTGTAAATTTTCTTGTCGCTAACCAAAATTGAAATTTCAAATAGGAATTTCAAGGGTATTCCCAAGGGGATATTAGTTTTGTTTTACACGTTTAATATTTGAATGAAATCTCAAAAAAGGATGTAGAAACATTTTATTTGGGTCACGTCACTTAAAAGACATTGATTAAACACTGATAATTTCAACTCATTGTACAGTAATAAAAACTTTAAGAATCTCGTTGTCTGAAGTGACAATGGGTATTCTATCGGCACAAGTTTTTTTTATTGTAGATCGTTATAATTAACTTCATAATTGACGCGATAATGGTGATCGTATAAACTGACGTGATAATGGTGGATCTCGTTGACTGACGTGGTAATGGTGGATCGCGTTGATTGACGTGATAATGGTCGATCGTGTTGACTGACGTGATAATGGTGGATCCAGTTGACTGACGTGATAATGGTGGATCCCGTTTACTGACGTGATAATGGTGGATCTCGTTGACTGACGTGATGGGATGGTGGATCCTATTGACTGACGTGATAATGGTGGATCTCAGTGACTGACGTGATAATGCATGTAATGGTGGATCTCGTTGACTGACGTGGTAATGGTGGATCTCGTTGACTGACATGAATAATGGTGGATCGCATTGACTGACGTGATGGGATGGTGGATCCCATTGACTGACGTGATAATGGTGGATCGCGTTGACTGACGTGATAATGGTGGATCTCGTTGACTGACATGAAAATGGTGGATCTCGTTGACTGACGTGGTAATGGTGGATCGCGTTGACTGACGTGATGGGATGGTGGATCCCATTGACTGACGTGATAATGGTGGATCGCGTTGACTGACGTGATAATGGTGGATTTTGTTGACTGACGTGAAAATGGTGGATCCAGTTGACTGACGTGGTAATGGTGGATCGCGTTGACTGACGTGATGGGATGGTGGATCCCATTGACTGACGTGATAATGGTAGATCGCGTTGACTGACGTGATAATGGTGGATCTCGTTGACTGACGTGAAAATGGTGGATCTCGTTGACTGACGTGGTAATGGTGGATCGCGTTGACTGACGTGGTAATGATGGATCGCGTTGACTGACGTGGTAATGGCGGATCCCGTTGACTGACGTGATAAATGTGGATCTCGTTGACTGACGTGATAATGGTGGATCCCATTGATTGACGTGATAATAGTGGATCCCGTTGATTGACGTGATAATTGCGGATCCCGTTGACTGACGCAATAATGATGGGGGTCCCGTTGATTGACGTGATAATTGTGGATCCTGTTGATTGACGTGATAATGGTGGATCCCGTTGACTGACGTGATAATGGTTGATGATCCCGTTGATTGACGTGATAATTGTGGATCGCATTGATAAATTCACGTGATAATGGTGGATCCCGGTGAGAGACGTGATAATGGTGGATCCCGTTGATTGACGTGAAAATTGTGGATCCTGTTGATTGACGTGTTAATGGTGGATCCAGTTGACTGACGCGATAATGGTGCATCGCATTGAAAGACTATGGTGATAATGATGGATCCCGTTTACTGATGTAACAATGATGGATCCCGGTGACAAACGTGATTATGGTGGATCCCGTTGACAGCCGTGATAATGGTGGATCCCTTTGACTGACGTGATAATGGTGGATCGCGTTGACAGACGTGATAATGGTCGATCGCGTTGACTAACGTGAAAAACAACAACAACAACAACAAAAGATACTCTGCAAAACTGGTGATCTTCGTGATAATTTCCTGCCTATCAAAACTCCACACCGTTGTTAAATAGCCGATAAACACCGCTCAAAGCGAAATTATTTCTTAAACACTCACTCAAAATTGTTATTTTATATAACTTCAGAAAAAAACCCACCTCGTGTTGCGTTACAACGAAATACTAATTCTTATCATTTTATGTTGCTTAAAAGCATGAATTTTTCTTTTGATTTTAAAGTTTACTTACAGTACATTAATTACTTTTTCTTTGATTTAAACACACATATGTTTTGTTTACCTGTATAATCATCACACACGTGTCTCCGGGATCCGTCACCCAGCTCTACAAGTTTTCCGTTATTCTTTAATTTGTCTGATAAAATCCTACGTGAGGCGACATTTAATGCATCTACCGGTGTCCGTTCAAATAACATTTCTATATCATCTGTGCTCATTTTAGAACATGCCATTGTTATTAGTCCACATGTATGGCTACCTTTTGCTTTCATTGAATGTCAACCAAAATTTCATAATGAACTAAATTGGTAAACCAAAGATCATTTCTGACCAGGAAGTGAAAAAACACACCCACACATCTCATTCAAATTTTCAAATTTATAAAATAATTAATTGGTTTGATAATGTTGACCCGAATAAAGTTTTTGTGTTCAATGATAACTGTACACGTGGACATATATTCCAGCTATTTAAACCAAGTGTGAATAAAACACTAAAGAAAAATTCATTTCCTATTAGATGCATTGACCAGTGGAATCATTTATATGAAAACATTGTTCTCAGTGAAAGGGTTTTGACATTTAAAACTTTACTCGACCGGAGCTGCCAAGTAAAAGATTTAATACAAGTGACATTTACTGAAGTTATCTTGATAATACTGTATAGGAGGAGCTTACATGCCATCTTGGCTTAAATGCTCAGAAGACGCATATCGTCCACAACTTTCTAACGTACATTTTGCGGCAAAAAGCCATAGTCCTGCCGCATAACGTCCATATTTTTAAGTTTATATAATTTTCGTTAATTTTGACCAGTTATTATCAGGTGTTATTGTGTGTTATTTTAGCTCACCTGAGTATGTGGCTGTCTATCTGTCCGTCCAAATTAAGCTTGTTACCACTCTAGCATCCACATACCCTAAGCAATATGTCCAGAGTTATCTGCCCTTGAATTACAATATCTGTTATATATCAAATTGTTACCACTCTAACGCTTTCATTTCTTCTTCAATCTTGGCAATTTTCATATTATGGGTCATACTTTGTCAAATTTCCTTTTAAAATCCTTATACATGACTTGGCGGCTTAAAGCCACAATCCGACAAAAGCTCTCACGCACGCTCAAGTATGACAATGCGACTAAAAGCCACAATCCGACAAAAGCTCTCACGCACGCTTAAGTATGAAAATGCGACTAAAAGCCACAATCCGACAAAAGCTCTCACGCACGCTTAAGTATGACAATGCGGCTAAAAGCCACAATCCGACAAAAGCTCTCACGCACGCTTAAGTATGACAATGCGACTAAAAGCCACAATCCGACAAAAGCTCTCACGCACGCTTAAGTATGACAATGCGACTAAAAGTCACAATCCGACTAAAGCTCTCACGCACGCTTAAGTATGACAATGCGACTAAAAGCCACAATCCGACTAAAGCTCTCACGCACGCTTAAGGTAGTACACCCCTAATGGGCATAATAAGGAATTGTAATATCATCAATATGAAGAATGTTTTCCTTTTGCTCATTGTTCAGAAATAAATAATGACATTTAGATAACAAATTAAACAAGCAAAATGAGTGTTTTTAAACGAAATGTTTTTAATATGTATTAAAATGTAACCCTACCCCACCCACTTTTAACACTAATTTGACCATTTCCCTATGTAAAAAGCCTTATTTAAAATATCCCTAAAATTTTCCAAAATGAGGGGCTATTTTCAAAGTTTGCCTAAATTTTCTTTAATGTATATTGGTTGGTCTTGCAAAATATAAAATACTTTTACCGTTTAGTTTTTATTTTATTAAACTTTGAAAATATCTGGTACCATATTTGCTATCAAATTTGGCATTATTTAGTAAATAAATACCTACAATAATTATATAATTAAAATAAAACACTTTTTTCTTCCATAGGGGGTCTGAGAGATTAATAAAAAATGTTAAAAAGAAAAAAAAGAAAGAAAAAAAATTGCCCCTTCTGGGGTTTGAACCCACGCCCCCTCAGTTTCAATACACTTTACAGTGATTTTAGCCTATTTGAATACTCTTCAAAGTGGAGACAGTGCATTAGGGGTGTACTACCTTAAGTATGACAATGCGACTAAATGCCACAATCCGACAAAAGCTCTCACGCACGCCTAAGTATGACAATGCGACTAAAAGCAACAAACCGACAAAAGCTCTCTTGCTCAAATACTAAACGACTAAAGCCCAACCCCGACAATAGCTCTGTCGATCAAATATGACTAGGCGACTAAAAGCCCACAATCCAACAAAAGATCTCTCCCTCAAATATGACTAGACGGCTTAAAGCCCGCAACCCAAACAATAGCTTTGTCTGTCTGTCTGTCTGTCTGTCTGTCTCTCTCTCTCTCGCGGCTAAAAGCACCCCATCCTCACTCCCCCCCGCGTTAAAAGCTTTCTTGCTCAATTATGACTAGGCGACTTAAAGGCCCCATCTCCATGACAATATAGCTCTCTCGCTCAAATATGACTACGCTGTCAAAAGCCCCCATCCATCTCCTTAAAAATAAATGGTAGAGCCTCAACCAAACCTCCATTGTCAACAAGAACACATTCCCACTTCTTGATGCATATTATATGAAAAGCTTTTGTCAAAGAAAAGCTTAATTTTAGTAATTTATGTCATTCACTCGGTCCAAGATTGCATTTATTTTACTCTCATTGCAAACAAACAAAAAGTCTTTTTTTATTGTCTTTCATTGTGCACAAGCAAGAAGTTTTCGATTGCTCCAATTTGTCCCTCATCGCGCACAAGCAAATAAATAGTATTCCCTTTATGTTCTACATTTTATATATAAACTGACATTTTTCATAGAGCTACAAAACATAGGTAGACCCATTTTAGATAACAATACTTATCTTATTTCAAACAGTTATGATAAAACAGATATAAAATGATGAGAAAAGTAGGGGTCATGTATCTTCTAAGGAAAATTTCTAGCGTCACACTTGTTACTCTAAAATCACTTATAAATCACACTGCAGTGACTTGCTTGCAATTTTTCTACTAAAATATCAAAGCATATCCATGATGAAATTTAAACAGAAAACAACTTAAATTTAGACGTCTATTGTCATTCAGAGAGAAAAAATGGTGTCCAATTAACCTGTCTGCCATTACGCGACAAGGACAGATGTATTCCGCAATGGTTCCATACCCTAGTCAGGCCTTTGAGAAGCACAGACACGAAGCGATGCGCGATATTTTACCGAGAGACACGGAAGCACGATTTTATACCGTGAAATCTCGAGGGAAGGGATACTTCGACATTGCGATATCTCGTGTTAAAATATAGTGCCCCCCTTCGTGTCTTGTCGGAATGTCGCGTTTGGCCCGATTCTGTGAAGCCCGATATTCCATAAATATGGCATTACCCGGATTCTTTTAAGAACTCATGCAAGGTGTAAATTCTTTTTCAATTGCGGATTTGAAAGCAGCAATTCTCGGAAAGTGGCGATATATTTTTTTTATATATATATTTCTGATGAAAACAAAATACGTGTGGGATGGTCTTCTCATTTTCTTCCTAAGATCATTTAGGGGTCTCCGTGGCCGAGTGATTAAAAAAACCCACTTGCCTCTAACCGCTGTAGGTTCGACACACATTCATGGCGTCGAAATATCCATGCGAGGAATCCCGTCTAGGGTCCAGATGCAGAATACCTATCCGCGTGCGCACGTAAAAATTACCGCGTGCGCACGCTTAGAACGTAACAGCTATCGCGTGCGCACGTAATAGCTATCGCTTGCGCACGTAATAAACCTTATGTCCCTTTTATGCCACCGTAGATACTACATTTTTCTTGCTTAGAATATTTTTAAATCATTTTTAAAACTTTCAGAATCGCATCGGAAAGAAACGTGTCACAATTAATAACGATAAAAATGAACTCGCTGCATATGTTATGATAAAAAATTTCATTGTGACATGCAGAACAGGGATATTCTTTAAGGTAATATATGACTCATATGCAGAGGCAGGAAGTTTTTTGATTGACCGGAAGTGACCTAAAAACGGTATTTTAAATACAGAAAACACAGAAAAATGGTTGGAAGCCGATATACGGACGGACATAATTATTACAATTTTAGAATTTTATGGAAGAATGTGAGACAAATGTGTTTCGAGTTTCCTTTCTAGTTTGTATCAAACACATCTGTCTCTTTTCCAATTTGCCACAAATATTAATGTTTACGAGCACACACCTCGTGAACAAATGTGATCCTACATTGCTCTATCGCTACTTATGCGTGTCGCCGTAATAAAGTGTCAACAAAAGTATCGTGTTGTTTAATTATATATGCTTTGTCAACTCTGCATCAAAACCCGAAAATAGAAGAATGCAATACCATGCACGTTTGATTTTCTTATTTGTTTCCCACGACCCCGGATCATGTGCATTCCCGAGCCCGGGTCCTGACATTGTCCTGTACCATCACTTGATACTGGAAATACTCCGGAGAAAAGAGTTCCGTAATATAATAAAAGAAGGTATATCCTAACGGCAGAAAAGCAAACGGTCTTTTTTTTAAATCAAAAAGGTCGAAATATATGAACGCTTTAAAGCGACATTTTGATTTCTTCCAATAATTGCATGTTTTTGAAGAAAGATTTTGGAATATTAGTACGACAGTAGATTTTTCTGTTATATTTTGGAGGCAAACGGCTTTAAGAACCTTGCTACCTGTCATAAACACAATATAAACAAGGAATCCCCTTCGATATTCTTCTTGTTATTGATAAACCATACATGTACATGTATAGTGTCCTTATTTACAAAAAACATGCCGTACATTAAAAACGTGAGTCCGATAATTACCGACAAAAGGTCATTGAATATTCAAATGTCTCCTGAAGGTCAATCTTGCCAAACAATAGCAATACTTAGTATATCTAAACCTCGGTATCAAATTGCTTTTGATAATCTAACTGACCCTTACGATATTCTAGGTCAAATACATCTTCATGTACACTCAAATGGTTATTCTTATAGCCATTTTATCGCAGTATATTATGCATAGATAACTAGAGTTTTAACCGTGTATCAAAATGGATGCATTAGTATATGTAGGTCTTACATTACTTATTCTTGTTTATTTGTTTAAAACTAAGAAACCGAAAGGAAAACCCATTCCTGGACCATCGGGATGGCCTTTAGTTGGTAGTGCTTTCGAAATAACCGAACAAAATATGCCGCAAAAATGTTTCGAATATGCAAAAGAGTTTGGACCTATTGTTCAGTTAAAACTATTTAATACCAACGTAGTTTTACTTAATTCTGTTGACATGCTTCAAAAGGCGATGAATGGGGACACTTACAAGCAATTCTTCAACGACAGACCTGGTTTCTTTTACGGTGAACATTTCCTCTTTGGAAGCCAAGGAGTGATTGTCTATAAAGAGGGGTTTGGAGGTGTACATAGTGAACTCCGGAAGACACTCACCAGGGGTTTACACGTTTATGGAGATGGAATAAAACATTTTGAGGATATGGTAGCAAAAGAACTTCAAAATCTCATGAAAAAAATTGAAGATATGGACAACGAAGAATTCGATTTCATGGACACAATTAAACCCTCACTTTCAAATTTGTTATCAATTTTGGTGAGTTAACTTCTCAATATAAATACAAAACAAAACAAATAAACATATTAAAATGAATATAGCAAATGCTGAAAGTTATGATATTGATACAAAACATACATGTATTAAGGATATTGTCCTACATTACTTAAAATATTGACATAATGATATTTATCAATTGAACCCTGGGTAAACTGGTAACTATAACATATTAACATGATTATAATAACAAAAAAGTACATGTATAAACTTTTATTCAAGACTTGGCTTGTGAACCTTCTTTCATTGGCAAGTGTATGTAAATTTGTCAATGTGATGAAAGACAAATGTCTGAAGTGTCCTATGGACACATTTCTATTTTCTATTTATTTTTTGTGCGATGTATAACTGTAAATAATATAAGCATCATAGATAGATAAATCACAGTGAATATGTTATTGTCAAACAGTTTGTATACATATATACAGCATAAACTTAATCCATTTTCCATATCATTTGTAGAAAGGTATAAAATGGCTAATACTGTACAGAATCTTATGAAACATGATGATAACGTGCTATATAACCAGCGATATATGAAACATGATGATAACGTGCTATATAACCAGCGATATATCATATAACAATGCACTGACAACTGTTCACCTAATTCGTATTCTTAATAACGTATAGAAATTATATTGCAATTAAAGCACTGAGTAAGCATACGTACAATAATAAATCTTGAAATCTTCTATTTGAATATTTGATAAAGTTTGTTTCACTCCACGATCATTCCTTCATTATTACAGCTTATTGGAGAATCCCTGGAAGAATCCGATGCTGATATTGGCCTGTTTTGGGAATTCGACAAATCTTTGGTATTTATGTACAGTCCAAAGGCGGATGCAGTATATTCAACATTTCCATTTGTGCGGTATCTCCCAGGGATATACAAGGAGCAGTATAATAAAATAGTAGTCACCAGACGTAGAATTATTGAGAGATATTACACCAAAGTCAAGGTAAATATCATGTACATTAAAATATATTACACCAGAGTCAATGTGAATATCATGTACATTAAAGTATATTACACCAGAGTAAATGTAAATATCATGTACATTAAAAACATATTACACCAGAATCAATGAAAATACGATGTACAATAAAATATATTACACCAGTCGATGTAAATATCATGTACATTAAAACATATAACACCAGAGTCAATGTAAATATCATGTACATTAAAGTATATTACACCAGAGTCAATGTGAATATCATGTACATTAAAGTATATTACACCAGAGTCAATGTAAATATCATGTACATTAAAAATATATAACACCAGTCAATGTAAATATCATGTACATTAAAATATATTACACCAGAGTCAATGTAAATATCATGTACATTAAAATATATTACACCAGAGTCAATGTAAATACGATGTACATTAAAATATATTACACCAGAGTCAATGTAAATACGATGTACATTAAAATATATTACACCAGAGTCAATGTAAAAACGATGTACATTAAAATATATTACACCAGAGTCAATGTAAATACCATGTACATTAAAATATATTACACCAGAGTCAATGTAAATTTCATGTACATTAAAATATATAACACCAGAGTCAATGTAAATACGATGTACATTAAAAATATATTACACCAGAGTCAATGAAAATATCATGTACATTGAAAATACATTACACCAGAGTCAATGTAAATACAACGCGCATTGAATATGTATTACACCAGGGTTAATGCAAAAACGATGTACATTAAAATATATTATTTAAGTTGCTTACATAGTATAATACAAAAATAATTCGATAACATGTGCATGTGATAAACATTAGTTAATAAGATATAGAAAACTTTTAATTGAATCATCGTCACACCCGAACCAACCCCTAAGAATGGATTTAAAAATGCAGACGATTTATTATTTATTAACCGTTTAAAATATGTTTCCCATTATCAAAAAGATCTCTAGATAAACATCACTTTTTGGAGCGAGTTCCATACCTTTTAACTTTAGTGTTTTAGCCATACATGAAGAAAAAACTTATTTTTTTAGCAGGGTACTGTAATGGTACTCTTATATTTGAGCTTTTATTTCAATAGAATTACAGAAGTAAATTGAAACACTACACGTAGAACTCATTACCATATGTCACACGCTAACCTAATTCCTATTTTAGGACACACACGAACCAGGAAACACGTGCGGTCTTATTCATTTCCTTCTAGAAGAAAGAAATAAAGAGCTTAACAATGGAAGCGATAAGATTGTTCTTACTGAAGAAAGGATTATATCTATCGTGCTAGAAATGGTTGCTGCAGGTAATGATTACAATTATATCTATCGTGCTAGAAATGGTTGCTGCAGGTAATGATTACAATTATATCTATCGTGCTAGAAATGGTTGCTGCAGGTAATGATTACAATTATATCTATCGTGCTAGAAATGGTTGCTGCAGGTAATGATTACAATTATATCTATCGTGCTAGAAATGGTTGCTGCAGGTAATGATTACAATTATATCTATCGTGCTAGAAATGGTTGCTTGCTGCAGGGTAATGATTACAATTATATCTATCGTGCTAGAAATGGTTGCTGCAGGTTATGATTACAATTATATCTATCGAGCTAGAAATGGTTGTTGCAGGTTATGATTACAATTATATCTATCGTGCTAGAAATGGTTGCTGCAGGTAATGATTACAATTATATCTATCGTGCTAGAAATGGTTGCTGCAGGTAATGATTACAATTTTATCGATCGTGCTAGAAATGGTTGCTGCAGGTAATGATTACAATTATATCTATCGTGCTAGAAATGGTTGCTGCAGGTAATAATTACAATTATATCTATCGTTCTAGAAATGGTTGCTGCAGGTAATGATTACAATTATATCTATCGTGCTAGAAATGGTTGCTGCAGGTAATGATTACAATTATATATATCGTGCTAGAAATAGTTGCTGCAGGTAATGATTACAATTATATCTATCGTGCTAGAAATGGTTGCTGCAGGTAATGATTACAATTATATCTATCGTACTAGAAATGGTTGCTGCAGGTAATGATTACAATTATATCTATCGTACTCGAAATGGTTGCTGCAGGTAATAATTACAATTATATCTATCGTGCTAGAAATGGTTGCTGCAGGTAATGATTACAATTATATCTATCGTACTAGAAATGGTTGCTGCAGGTAATGATTACAGTTATATCTATCGTGCTAGAAATGGTTGCTGCAGGTTATGATTACAATTATATCTATCGTGCTAGAAATGGTTGCTGCAGGTAATGATTACAATTATATCTATCGTGCTAGAAATGGTTGCTGCAGGTAATGATTACAATTATATCTATCGTACTAGAAATGGTTGCTGCAGGTAATGATTACAGTTATATCTATCGTGCTAGAAATGGTTGCGGCAGGTAATGATTACAATTATATCTATCGAGCTAGAAATGGTAGCTTAGAAATGGTTGCTGCAGGTAATGATTACAATTATATCTATCGTGCTAGTAATGGTTGCTGCAGGTAATGATAACAATTATATCTATCGTACTAGAAATGGTTGCTGCAGGTAATGATTACAGTTATATCTATCGTGCTAGAAATGGTTGCTGCAGGTAATGATTACAATTATATCTATCGTGCTAGAAATGGTTGCTGCAGGTAATGATTACAATTATATCTATCGTGCTAGAAATGGTTGTTGCAGGTTATGATTACAATTATATCTATCGTGCTAGAAATGGTTGTTGCAGGTTATGATTACAATTATATCTATCGTGCTAGAAATGGTTGCTGCAGGTAATGATTACAATTATATCTATCGTGCTAGAAATGGTAGCTGCAGGTAATAATTACAATTATATCTATCGTGCTAGAAATGGTTGCTGCAGGTAATGATTACAATTATATCTATCGTGCTAGAAATGGTTGCTGCAGGTAATAATTACAATTATATCTATCGTGCTAGAAATGGTAGCTGCAGGTAATGATTACAATTATATCTATCGTGCTAGAAATGGTAGCTGCAGGTAATAATTACAATTATATCTATCGTGCTAGAAATGGTAGCTGCAGGTAATAATTACAATTATATCTATCGTGCTAGAAATGGTTGCCGCAGGTAATGATTACAATTATATCTATCGTGCTAGAAATGGTTGCCGCAGGTAATGATTACAATTATATCTATCGTGCTAGAAATGGTTGCTGCAGGTAATGATTACAATTATATCTATCGTGCTAGAAATGGTTGCTGCAGGTAATAATTACAATTATATCTATCGTGCTAGAAATGGTAGCTGCAGGTAATAATTACAATTATATCTATCGTGCTAGAAATGGTAGCTGCAGGTAATTATTACAATTATATCTATCGTGCTAGAAATGGTAGCTGCAGGTAATAATTACAATTATATCTATCGTGCTAGAAATGGTAGCTGCAGGTAATAATTACAATTATATCTATCGTGCTAGAAATGGTTGCCGCAGGTAATGATTACAATTATATCTATCGTGCTAGAAATGGTTGCCGCAGGTAATGATTACAATTATATCTATCGTGCTAGAAATGGTTGTTGCAGGTTATGATTACAATTATATCTATCGTGCTAGAAATGGTTGCTGCAGGTAATGATTACAATTATATCTATCGTGCTAGAAATGGTAGCTGCAGGTAATAATTACAATTATATCTATCGTGCTAGAAATGGTAGCTGCAGGTAATAATTACAATTATATCTATCGTGCTAGAAATGGTTGCCGCAGGTAATGATTACAATTATATCTATCGTGCTAGAAATGGTTGCTGCAGGTAATGATTACAATTATATCTATCGTGCTAGAAATGGTTGCTGCAGGTAATAATTACAATTATATCTATCGTGCTAGAAATGGTTGCTGCAGGTAATAATTACAATTATATCTATCGTACTAGAAATGGTTGCTGCAGGTAATAATTACAATTATATCTATCGTACAAGAAATGGTTGCTGCAGGTAATGATTAGAATTAAATCTATCGTACTAGAAATGGTTGCTGCAGGTAATAATTACAATTATATCTATCGTGCTAGAAATGGTTGCTGCACGTTATGATTACAATTATATCTATCGTGCTAGAAATGGTTGCTGCAGGTAATGATTACAATTATAAAAGTAAAGCCGACCTGATCGTGTGCAATTTTCTTTGACCTATTTGAACTCTGAAGGCAATTTGTTAATTTTACATGTATAGTAAAATGGTGTAATTTTATATATTAAAAGATTTTAATTAGTGGTCCTAACAATAAATGAAATTAAAAACAAAAGTGTTATAATAATGAAATGATTTAAAGCATCAAAACATTAATTCTGAATGAAATAGATAAACAGATAAATAGATTCTAGATAAAATGTTTGCATTTATGTGGTGGTGACGGCGGCGGCAGTAAGTCACAATGAGTTTACCAGAGCAAAGTTCAGCCAACGCATCGTTCCTGGACAGGCTGTCAAACATTTTCCAGTACTATTTTCCTATTATTTCCAATAACAAACATTTCTGTAATGACAAATCTCTCTTTTCATCCACAAGCTGTCGTGACAACAATGTGCTCACTGAGTAGCACTATCTTGTGTTTGATGAGTCACCCGGAAGTCCAGCAGAAACTTCAGAAAGAGATTGATGACGTCATAGGAAGAGATCGTCGTCCAACCTTAGATGACAGAGCAAAATGCAAATACATAGATGCGGTGGCCATGGAAGTTCAGCGATTAATAACGATTATACCGTTAAGTGGACCTCATATATGTAAACCTAACATACAGTTTGAGGGGTACGACATTCCAGCAAACTCGATGGTAACTTTATTATATTGTATGAAATGTGTTACATTAATAATAAATATTATACACATCCATATCTTGTAATCCTCATTTTAAGAAGACGCATCCCAAATGACATATCAGTAATTTGCGAATGTGAATTTATAGACTTTTTTCTAATGTAAAAATGCGGAGCGTAGCTACGGACTGCCACTTTTCCTTTCCTGAATGTTTAGCATTACCATTCGGTGCATTCAAGATCTGATGGTTGATTCATTATAATCATAATTGATCTTTACACAACAACAAAAAAAGAAAAGAAAAAAAGAGTAAAAATCAACAGAAAATCACTTGAATATTCAATCACATCTGTATATAAATTAACTAAACCACGATAAAGTATTCTTAAGATAGTCATTAATAATAAAATAATGACGAGTAAGCTAAATGCTGTAATGACACGTTTATTCCTGTAATAGGTTTTACCAAATCTGAACTTTATACATCATGACGAGAAGATTTGGGGACCAGACGCTTGGAAATTTAAACCCGAGCGTTTTCTAGATGTGAATGGAGACATTGTTGACAGAGGTCATCCATACAGACGAAAGTAAGAACAAATCTCTACTTGAACTAAATTTATTTGTTGTAAGACATATGATTTATGTAACAACATAAAGTGTTAATTATTATACCACTAAATGCAAACAATTAGGAAACTGACGCAGCTTCATATATAAATGTTTGCTTGCCAATTGGACCGTTTGTTTATAATATTTATAGGATAGAATTCATTATTATGTACAACTCATAAATCATGTCAAATCAGATTGTGTGTTTATGATTCGAACTATGCCTTCTTTCGAACGGATTTTGAGAAAAATTATCCATTACAAATTCTCCAACGTTCAGATCGGCAAGTACTGCTCGAAAATATGTCTATAGAATTTAAAAGAAGCGATATACATGTATATGTTTTGTTTGTTTCAGTTGGGTCCCGTTTAGTATTGGAAGACGACAGTGTTTAGGGGATACGTTTTCTCGATCAAGAATGTTTTTATTTACCGCAACATTATTCCAGCGTTGGAATTTCGTACCATCTACTGGGAGATTTGGATCATGTGATACAAGATCAGAGGATTTTGAGGTTAATTTGGCAACACGACCGAAAGAATTTTATTGTAAGGTTCAGAGAAGGAACTAATTAAGATATTAATACAATGGGATTTAACAAATTTATTACTTGATAGATTATGTATTTTTGAAACTCTTTAATAGCTAAATTACATAGAAATTATACTGATTATAAATTTTAAATATAAAGAAATTGTCACTTAGATAATATGAACTGGATAATAGGGATCCGCATATTGTAAGCAAAGTCGTTAAATATATCCCTAAATTTAGTCGGAAGTGTCGAGCTAAAATGAGAACATGTACATGTATATCTTACTTTATTTTACAAAATTGTACATGTATTTTCATTTATTCGATTGAAAAATAAATGATTTCGAATACTTCATTTGATTAAAAGAGTTTTGAAAAGTCTGAGAAAACTAAAGAATTATTTCACGTTACGAATATGGAATCGAATTAGGAGTAAGCACACAAACAACATATTTAATAATGTATTTATATTATATCAAAGGAAAATGAAAGCATCTATTTAATTCTATATCAAAAGCTGAATTTGAACTATTGTACATTTTAATTTTAATATGTATAAATGGTTAAATAAATATTAGCAATGTCACTTTATAACATAAAAACACACGAAAAACATGATTTGTTTTGTCTCCTTTTATTCAGTTTAAATATATTGATTCTTGAAAAGTTTGGAGCTTACTTAAACCACTGTTACCTAGAACTAACAAGTACTAGTGATGTCATATGAGGGTACATGGTTGTGGCCCTTGAAGGACTCAAACCTATGATAACTAACTGGAGTGGAGACACCATAACTACTAGTATTCGGCCACCGCTTTCCTTTCATTTAATCTAGTATGCGCAGTATTCTTTTGTATTATAAATATTCTTTTTAATAAGGAAAACTAAAGCAACATTTTCATAAGCACTGTCACCTACCAACTCCTTTTTTTAATTTGTTAAATATACGAGAACTAAACCAACAAAGGATAATAAAGTTAATGGAACGGATGCGCTCCGGATCATCCAGGCAGAGCCCAGGTGAAGTAGTGGGGCGGGAAATTGAGAAAATAGTGCAAATTGTGATACAAGCATGAAACTTTCAGGAAATCATCTTTAGACCATGTAGATTTCAAAAGTGAAGTGGGCCCAAAAATATCTCTGCTCATTAAAGATGGCCGCCATTTTCAAAATGGCCGCCATATAAATTTGACGTACATTCTAGCTCATTCATTCCAATTTTTTGTACAGACCTTTAACTAACACCAAAAACATGCATATACTTTTCCCTTTTCAAAAATTTAAATATCACAAAATTTGTCGTTCATACATCCTCTAAATCCAAGATGGCGTCCAATATGGCCGTCGATTTTGTGCAAAACTGTTATATCATTTTTAAAGTATAATTTGTTGCACAAATAATTTTTATTATAATAAAAAAAAGTGTTTAAACATATCAGAGATAATCATATTAATGTTAATCTCAATAAAAGTAAACATTTTAAAAGTTTTTGTTTAAAAATATCTTTAAAAAAGATAAAAAAAATCCATTTTTTTCATATTTTTCAAATTTTATTTTCTAAATTAATGTACAAAGTTAAAAAAGTTACTTTATATCTTAAACTGTATTTGACATTCCATTAATATCATGTGTTTATTGTAAAAAATGTAAGAAAGCATTAAATCTGTAGGTTTTATATTTTGTGAAAGTGGGTGGAGTAATTTTATATGATAATTGTAAAAGAAAACACAACAGAAAATATACATAGCTAAGTTCATTATATTTCTTTTCCTTTTTACTTTTCTATAAATTCTTATGCAAATGTTCCAACTTAAAAAGTACTTTTAATTGGATGAAAGTATTTTTGTCTTCCTTCGGGCCATTTAGTAGGTGAGCAAGAAATTCAATATACATTCAGTTATTAAATTTGGTTGCATGATAATTCTTCTTTCAATATATTTGACATTATATTTTAATTGTTAATTGTAAAGACATATAAGAAGACAATTAATCAACTAAACATGCTTAAAATAGCAAACATGTACATGAATGTAAGGTATAAAGGTAGTCCATAAACGCATATTTTTGACACCTCCACAATTTAATATTCATAATATAGACATGGCTTAAAAGCCAACAAAATGTATGTGATGTGAAACAGATATATCAATGATATGGCCTGGCCTGCATGCAGCTTTTAGAAAAGTTAAGATACAAACTAAGTGTATTTCCTAAAGTAATCATATCTTTTTTTTTTCTTTCAATAAGAGGGTAATGATGACCCTGGATCACTCACCTAAGATCATTGTTGGAAAAAAGGTAACAAGATCATTTTGGGATGTCAATTATGTCATAACACGCATGATTTGTGTCATAATTGAATCCGGTTGTTTTTAAAAAAACATGCTCAATATCTGGTTTCAATTTTTATTCACACGAGAGGACTTTAATAACGGTTACCATATTTATTATATACGAGTCCATATAAACTTAGTGACCTCTAGTGTTTGGTAAATTTGGACCATGTTGTCCATGATATATCATTATTATAACATAATTATGATGATACATGATTATTGTATATGCGTCGGATACTGTAGGTTAAGAGAAAACAGATTTATTACAGTAGTCTTTGTAAATTAAGTGATACCATTGCAAAACCGATTTAGACTGCAGTATCATCATACAAATTTATGCATGTTATATCAGTCTACATCCCAAATATCTTAGTTCAAGTCATTGCAGTTTAACACTAGATGTTTTAATGTGTTTTCCTATACAAGTCTGTGAACCAAGGTGGCTCTATGAGCATGATTCATTAAATATGTTAATAAAGACACAAGGTGGTGCTACATGCTTAGTACCTGTGCTCTGTGCATTTTGATTTTTGAGAAGATTTTTTATTTTGGATGTACACTTAATGATCCAAAAGTGTTTTATGTAACTTTTAAAGAGGTCTTCTTTTCTTGGCAAGGTTATATTTTGACTATCTAAGCTCTAGGCATAACAGTTTGTTTGTTGATTATTTTTTTAATAACAACAACAATAAAACAACTTCAATGCGATTCCCTACACAAGTCTTTAAAAACTGTGTACCTCGCGAGGGCCTTTAAATCATGCTCCTGCAGTCCAAAATGGCTTTCCCTGTCACTTAGTTTACATTGACTTATATATTAAAATTCTTCTCCGAAACTACAGTGCACAGAGAAGAAAAAATATCGTATATCATCACCTTGTGATGCTATATAAAGATTATGAACTATTGGCATAGGGTCAAAATCACTTAGTTTACATGGACTCTTATTGGAATATATTTATATGAGTCTTCTTGTGTGAAAAAGTTCTGACCCGTACGAAAATTCCAGCCGTAAAGTAGCAGGAAAAGACACGGAAATTGGACGTAAAACCACTTTTCCAGGCGTAAAACACACGTAATTTTTTAAGAGCAGGAAAAACATGAAAAGTATGGCCGTAATTTTTTATTTTTTACGGCTGTACTTTTCTTTACGGACGTAAAATTTGACTTAGAATTTTGAGGTGTTGAAAAAGTGAATCAAAAATGTTTAAGTTCCATTTTACGCCCGTAAAATAAAATTACGACAGTAAAAGTGTACTCTAAGGTTCTTTAGTTGGAATCTCAGAGCCTAGTTATTGGGCATGTTTCTTTTCAAATAATTTATAAATCTTGACTGGTGAAAAAAAGATACTCCTTACATGATTTTAGCATTCTTCAGTATAAAAGAATTATAGCCCTTTTCTAACAGTGGATCTAAGGTGAGTGATCTAGGGTCAACAATTCTCTCTTGTTTAATGGGAAAAATAAAGAAGGAATACATTTAGTTTATATTCTAAATAATAATGTCGGTCAAGCGGTTTTATTGATACCTATTTTAGCACACATAGTAATTAGATAATATGATGTATCAGTCGTCTAAAATTTTGTTTCTTTTGATAATATCATGTCTACATAAGTTATTAGAAATGGACAGTACTAATTCAATTATACTTGGTTACAATGATGTGCAAGTAAATATTACTTTGAATCATTCTGTTACAAGCTTTTAGCAAGACTAAATTGTCCAGGAAATAATTGTATTCATAAAAAGACAACATTTCACTCAGGTCCAGGCATGATTTTATCTAACATATGGTTCATTGATGAATATTCGGTCTTCTTTCTGTACAATTATCAAATTATATCAAGAATATTGAAACAACTTATATCATGCAAACACATTTAATAACTGAATGTATACATATGATTGTATCTGCATTTATTGATATTTTAGTACACCCTCTAGACCTGAAGTAAAACAAAAATACCTTAATACAATAAAATACTTTTACAGTGAATATTTGCATAAGAATTCTTAAAAAACGTTATTTTGTACTACAATTGTCTGATAAATTTACCCCACCCACTTTTAATAAGTATAAAAACTTCACATTTTTGTTTGTTTTTGCTACAATTATACAATAAAACATAGTGTTGATTGAATATCAAATACATTTTAAGAAACTATGTAACTTTTGGAATTTTGTACATTGACCTAGAAAACAATGTTGGAGAAAAATGCAAAAAAATGGAACTTTGTCTTTGATTTTTTTAAAGATTTTTTTTTTTGTACAAAAAACTAAAAACATGACTAAAAATGTGGTTAACTTAAAATTCGATTTTTTTCTAATATATTTAACAATTTTATATGGTAATACGCATACTGTGTGGAAAAAATTATACTACCAAAGGGATATATCAGTTTTCATTAAAATTGGCAGCCATATTGGACGCCATCTTTGATTCTGAACAAATATGCAAGCGAAATTGCTTGAAGATTTAAATTTTTGAAAAGGGGAAACTATATGCATGCTTTGGTGTAAGTTTCAGGTCTGTACAAAAAATTGGAATGAATGAGCTAGAATGTACGTCAAATTTATATGGCGGCCATCTTGAAAATGGCGGCCATCTTGAATGAGCAGAGATATTTTTGGGCCCACTTCACTTTTGAAATCTACATGGTCTAAAGATAATTTCCTGAAAGTTTCATGCTTGTATCACAATTTTCACTATTTTGACAGCAGAGACCTTATTTCCCGCCCTACTAAAGCTACGGTTCATGCCGGTGCTTCCACGGTCGTTCCCCGATGACGCCGGAAGAGCCCCGGTTGACCCAGGCAGAGCCCTGGTCGATCCATGCAGAGCCCCGACAGAGTCCAGGACGATCCAGGCAGTGCCCAGGTAGAACCCCGGTGGATTGAAAACGCGCGAAAATGATAACATTGATACATAATTTTTATTTAATATAATATCTATTGTTCCAGTAAAGTAATTCATGATGATTTTTTCTGAAAAATACTTATGCAAGACTGGATAGAAGGGAATTGGGAACGGTTTTAATACAAACAAGTACAATCATCGCAAATTGTCGTGATTCTTTTGAAATGAACCGTGCTTTGCCGGGGCTCTACCGGGATCAACCGTAGCTCCATCGTCATCCCCCGGGGCTCTGCCGCCATCCTCCGGGGCTCTGTCGTCATTCACCGGGGCTCTGTCAGCATTCACCGGGGCTCTACCGGCTATATCAAACCCCAGATCAACCCCGGTTTGTGCCGGCAGAGCTACGGTGCTTCCCAGGTGTAACCCCGGTCGTTCCCGGCAGAGCTAAGGATGAAGCCGGCAAAACTATCCTTCCCGGATCATCCCGGGCCACCCCGGAGATAGTAAATATTTTATTCCATCCGGGGTCGAATGCCGGATGTTCCAGGATCATCCAGGACGTTGCCGACAGAGATACGGATGTACATGTACTCCGGTTGTTCCCGGTCGTTCCCGGATCACCCGGATGTCTACCGGGCTCTGCTGGGAAGTAAGTGAGACTGTAGTTTAAGGCGTCCTATGCGGCCCAAGTCAAACTTTTTAAACATTGCACATCGAGTATCTTAATGTCATCTCATACAGAAATGGGGATTGGGGATGAAGAATATTAAGTCATATATAAAAAACAAATGTAATTTATTCAAATTATAAAATAGTATGTACAAAATTTACAATATTTTTACAAAATAGAAACTCACAGCCGTAGCTATACACATGCCTCTTTAAAAAAAAGAAGCGGTTCACGCGTCTATCAAAAAGGTATATTTCTTGTTAATGTTGTCTGTTTTAATGACGCTATATTCAATTAGCGAAAAAATAATATTGATTCATTTGACATTTGATATAGAAGTAACGAAATAAATTATGTCTGAATTCAGAGTTATCTAAAGGCGCCAAATTGTCGATTTATCGCATTTGACCTGAACAGATTTGAGTTAAATTGCCTATTACTAGGGAAAGAATTCATGCCAGGGTTACCAAAAGCATTTGATGATGGAAATTGTCCAAAATTATTGACGCCATTTTGGATATTTCCAGTCAGCATGTTATTGGGTAAATTATTTTGAAACTGTGGCATGTTGCCTGGAAACGCACGTTGAACGTTCGTTACGCTACCTGGGAAAGTTCCAATGTTTTGACGAGTTTGTAATAAGTTCCCACTGTTTTGTCGAAAGCCGTTTCCGAAATTTGGAATGTTGTTTTGACGTCCTAGAAAAGTGTTCGGATTCATGAAATTATTTTGATTTTGAAGAGTTTGCGCTAAATTTTGACCTGGTCTTACATTAGAGGCCAAACCATTTGTTGTTCTTAGATTTTGATTGTTTTGAAAATTGTTCGCTGTTTGTACTTGTGTATTATCATTACTCGACATAAAAGGACGATTTTGTATATTGTTGTTCTGGTTAAAATTGCTTTGACCAAAATTTCCATTAATACTATTAAAGTTTGTTCTTATCTGAGAGTTCAAGCCATTCTGACCATTTTGGTTACTCCCTTGATTTCCAAAATTAAAGTTGTCTACATTACCACTTTGTGCTGTTCCTTGACCAAGGAAACGTTGACCCTGTGACGGAAACATATTAGTATTTATGGGTTGTGTTCCAATATTCGCAGGCAGAGACTGACCTGGAACTCTTGAAAAAGGAATCTGATTTACCGCGTTATTTTGTGCATTTCGTACGGTATTTGTATTCAAGTTAGGATTTACCGCGTTATTTTGTGCACTATTTTGGTTTAAGTTGTTTGGTGTATTTCTAGCGTTGTTTGGAATTAAGTTTGGATTTACAATATTGTTTACAGAATTAAATGCATTATTTGGATTTGTGTTTGGATTCAATAAGCTATTTTGTGAAATTCCATTGTTGTTTGGATTCAAATTTCGCTGGATGAATTCATTTTGTGAGTTTATTTGCCCATTCGGACTTATGGTGTTCTGGTTTATCAAATTATTTTGCGGATTTATACCATTATTTGGATTTATTACATTATTCGGATTCATTACATTATTAGGATTAACTACATTATTAGGATTTATTACATTATTCGGATTTACTACATTATTCAGATTAATTACATTATTCGGATTCATTACATTGTTCGGGTTCACTTCATCATTCGGATTTAATACATTATTCGGATTCAGGTTTTGCGTAATTAATCCATCATTTAAGGATGCCATATTTTGAAATGTGTTTATCTGATTTTTAGGTATTAAACCTGTGTTTGCACCATTTTGAATATCATTCATATTTTCTGTATCCGTTGACAGTGGTCTGTTTTGCGCTATGTTGTTTTGCTGGTTTGGTTGAGGAATGTTGCTTCCGATAAAGTTATTTTGTCCCGAATTCAAACCAGGAAACATGGCTTGTTGGTTATTCTGATTAGAAACACTATTCTGGACGGAGTTAAATCGGTTTGAAGGAAAATTGTTCATATTTTGCTGGAACCCACTTTGTTCATTTTGGTTAAATCTATTTTGATTCATCACATTACCATTATTGCTAAAAGAACTAGATCCGAAGTTGTTATTTGTACGAGTACCCGATGTAACCGCCGAACTTTGAATACTTGGATTTGACTGTCTGTTGCTGTTTATCTGATTGTTTTGAACAAGATTGTTTTTATCCAATTGTCCATTCAATTGTCTGTTTTGATCATTTCCTTGATTGTTTACTTGTTGACTATTTTTATTAATTGGTCCAACGTTCGCTGGATTTACAAAATTATTTTGTTCACTACCAATTTCCTCTGACATACTTCCACTTCCAATTATATTTTGGTTGCTTGTTTGATCATTTGGAACAATTTTATTACTTGGGTTAATTACTTGAACATTCGGATCAGTAATAAAACGGTCATGATCATCGTTATAGTGTAAATCAATTGGTTTCCTTGAATTACTTAGTTCTGATACTTGCTGATTTTGAGCATTATCATCTGCATACATATCATAATCTAATTCATCAAACATTGGATTGGTTTGCTTGTCAGTGTTTAAACTCCCTTGACCTTGCTCATTATTCATGACGACATCATCTACATTTGTGTCACCTTGCATTGTTTGAGTGACGTTTGGTATAGAATTTGATTGGTCAATTACCGGGAAAGGAGCCGGTGGGTATAGCATATCAACCTTTAAATTGTTTTGACCTGGTTCTGATTCAGGGTTTACCACATTCAATTTATCTCCCTTGGAATTCAGTCCAATGAGTTGTTTTTCTATGTTGGATAAATCACTTGTTTTAAATTGGTTTGTATTCTCGCTAGACCTTCCTTGTAATATAGGGGTGGTTAAAATAGAATTTGTGCCTGTTGTCGGACTTGACATCGTAGCGAAAGGTGCTTTTGTAGTAGTGAACTTAGCTTTTGTAGTTGTATATATTGTAGTAATTGGCTTTGATGTAGTACCTGCAGTTGTTTGGGCCAGTTTGGAGTTTGATGTGTCAACAAAACTACCAATTGTCTCCATTTTCGGATTTTGTCTTCCGCTCATATCAACAAACTCGGACTGGACTCTGAGAATTGGTTTTCTTGAATTATCAATAAAGTTGCTTTTTATTTCTAATGTCGGTACCCGCTTTCGTTTTGGCGGAGCGTTTCCTTTTATTTGTCCAAATGGGAATGGTTTGACAATATCTTGACTAGAACTTTTTGAAGCAGACGGATTACCAGAATCGATCTGATTAGAAGTGTTTTTGTTAAGCAATGAGTCAGCAGTATTTGATGACGTTAAAGGAATCTTAGAAGGAAAACCACTCATTATCGGCTCAACGTTTCCGGTCTGAAGTTCAAGCTCTAGCATGCGGTTTTCTGACTGAAGTAAATTTGCAGCGGAAGTGACATCAGGTGGAGATAATTCATCATCAAATATGTAGCCATTTTTGTTAAAATCTGATGTAAATCTGTCATCAACAGTTCCTTCAGCACCAAATGCGTTTCCAATTCTGAAAGTATCTGATGGAAAGTTGTTTTCTGTAAGTGAGTTATCAAATATATTGCTATTAGAAAAATCTGCACCAGTACCGGTATTTAGATAACCGAATTCTTTAACGTCGTTTGCGGCAATGATACCATCTACTACATTTTCTTTAACAATTCCAAGTTGTGATAATTCAATCAGCTGACTTTTATCATTATCCATGACGTCATTCCCGGTGAAACTATTTGTCATCCACTGAGGTTTAGTTTGGGGTTGATCGTTTTTGCCAACTACCTCACTTGTAAAAGGAGTATCTAACTTGTCCTTCGGTACATAATTGTAAAGATTGTTGATACTTCCTTAAAAAGAAAAACAATGGAAAATTAATTATTGGCTCTTATCTGCTATATATAATTGACTTATCATTTCCATATATGGATACAATTTTTGACTTATATCACATGCTATATCGGGAAATCTACTCATTCTAGAACCAAGTATAAATGTAGATAATTTGGCAGGTAAAGAAAAATAACTTTTCAAATAGCAATAGATTAGTATTTATGATACATTTATAAGAACGTTTGTATAAGGTAAGCGCGACGTTTATATATCTATAGTTACAAAATGATTTTTATCAATAAAAAAGGGAGTGTTATAATAAATTTCTTATAAAGACTTTTTGGCATGTATAGGGAGGATATTTGTTTGTTTTGAGTGAATATACAATACATTTATATCACACTATAGATATAGTGAAAAATAACAATATATTTTGCTATTTCATTCAAACACGGAAATCACACGCACGTAAAGTAGATGGCGCCAGACGTTAACTATCCTGCGCGAACGCTGATCAATCAAATCATCGTACAAATATAAGAAATAACTGTCGCACTCACCTTGCTTAACCATCTTTACGTTGTCGGCTGCACGTGACAATCCGGCGGCAAGTGACAGCTTACTTTGGTCTGGCATGAAATGCTGTAATATAAATTGATAAATACAGCTACCATACCACGTGTAAAATACAGGCAAAAATCGGTATTTACTCTCGTACTATATATAAAATACTGCCAAAAACTTACATGTACAGTTCTGTACATTTTCCTTTTTTAAAATGAATATTAGTAGTAGGAAATTTGACGAAATTGGGCTAGCTATAAATTCTTTAAAACGCAGGGTTTAACTGTTAAATTGGTGATCGTGCGGGATGTGGATACGTTATAGTTTGATAATGACGGTGTACCGTCATTTAATTTCCGTTATTTCATAAAGTCAAATGCATTGGTGGTAGTGTGTAGTTCACTGTTGTAAGAAAACAGAATTAGACAATGTCAATTTTAAATCATTTTTAACAACCTGAAAGAATAATGAAGCGATGTGAAGAAAAATACCATTTAGAATAAGCCATCAAGAGCTGTATTTATTGTAGCTATAATTGAGAACCCCCTAATCCAATTTATCAAATTTTTGGACATTTTTCATAATTTTTTTAAATAGACATCAAACTTAACCCTTTATTTTAGTGCAAAACAGAATTCTTTTTTTTACGACAGTGTATGTAAATGTTGATAATCACACTGTCGAAAAACAGGACAACAGTTGATATCGGGGACAGCAGACGTTGTGTATATACACATAGCAAAATCCGCTGTGCTTTCACATATTCAAATTGATTTGGGGTTAACGATTTAAAAGCTTATAAAGTAAGGAATTTGCTGACTTCAAATTTTGTCTCGTTTTTTTTTATTTTGCTCAGATCGATAAGTCTTATACATGATTTCTTTTCAACTAACCACTTACAATGGATGATTAAAATTTAATGTACGCTTCATTTAAAATGCACTATTGACAGCATGGAAGTTAATTGTTATTGTAAACATCTACACCGGAGTAACGTCGCATACAAATTTACACAAAGCACATAATTACAAGATATAAGGTAACGGTGGATATCGATCAAACAGAATAAACCAATGTGATTCAAGCCTTAGGTCAAGTTGATATACAGTGTATAATCTATACGAAGTTAATATTTTATTAATCTTGTACACCGAGTCCAGTCGTTTAAATACCAGGAGCAGATTTTTTAATGCAGTTTAAACAGGTTCGTTGGTAAAGAAAATCGTCTGGCATTGCTTTGATAATGCATACATTACATCAGATGAAGATATGGTCCATGCTGATCTCCTTTAAAAACTTAATCCATAGACCATCTCAGATGTACCAAAGTTTTGTTACTTTCCTAGAACATTCTCCACGAATGCGATAGAAAATGCCCATTTAAGGCAAGATTGCTCTTGAAGTGCAAATTGGGACATAAGGAAATTTCTAAACATTTGCCTGGTTCTAAACGTTTATACATTACATGTCCTCATATTTCAAGATCTCCCAACGAACCTGGGAACTATTATTAAGTAATGTTTAAGATATGTGAACGAATAGTTGGAAATTTGAAAGTCGATTGTATATGAGATACCAGTGAAAAAACCCAGATGTTTCAAAAATGGAAATGGAATCTGTCCTTGCATTCAGTTTGCAAATAGATATAAACTAATGAAATGTTCAACTAAAGAATGCGAGACGATTTTGTTACCATAGTAACTGTTTTACACCAGTCATTCTGCAACTGAGATCTATATCGGTGTTCGGAGAAAAACAAAAATATTAACTTGACCTCGCTACCATAAATATATTTTGCTTTTACTCACCGCAAACGCATTTAATGAATTGGGTTTCACATTCGGTACATCTCGTCTTTTACTGTTCTCTCCATTCGAGTCTGTCACGGGTTTCTCGTGGAAGAATATCATCCCTTCCAAGTTAATTTTGTTGGTTGGCTCTGAGATGTAACAAAATGTTTGAAATAAGATTTGATTTAAAAGCTGATTAATACACACATACTTTTAACTTTCATGCAAAAATAAACATTGCCAGCCAATTCTAAATACATGTACTTAGATTATATAATTATATATTGAAGGGACTCCACGGAACATATTTTTTCTAGATTTGAGTACATTTGATGAAAACCTAAACCAAAAGCTTGTGTGCAAACATTTGGAACATAAGCTCCTCTTTTGTTCGGAGAATCATCAATTTAAATATGCAAAAATACTCAAAAAAATTAAAAGTTTCCAAAGGTTTTCAACTCAAATCTTGCAAATGATCGCAAAACAAGCGTTTTTATCATTTTCTCTTGCATAATTTTCCATTTTGATCTAAAAAGTTGAGTAAACAAATGACAAATTTAACACATTATGCGTTTGAACCTCAATGGAGTTCCTTTTAAAATAAAACTATAAAAATAATAAAGATCAAAGTTTGTTAAATAAAAAACGTTATTGTTTCGATAAATAATGTGAACATTTAAATGGAAGAAATCTTCCTTTCCAGGGGATTTAATAACTGATGTCTTCTAACATAACATTAGTCAATCATATATTATTAGTTATAAAGATTTTTGACAGGTTATATGGCCCTATATAAACGGTTGTTTGGAAATATAACCTGATGCGTTAGGCGAGGGTTATATTGCAAACAACTGTTTATATAGGGCCATAACCTGTCAGAAATATTTATAACGAATTTATAATACAGCAAGCATCATTTGTTTTAGCGAGAAAAGTGAGATTTCTTCATAAATTGACAGCAGCCTTGTGTAATTATATAGATCTATATAAACGTTTACCCATTGAAAGCCTCGTTATAAACGTCCAGTATCATAATTTGTTAACTCTTTAAGTATGCAAACTCTTTAATTAAGCAGTTTACATATGATTTGAGTAGCCTTAAAATAAAGGGATTAGAAGAAAAAAACGACATACAAGATTGAATATTTTCGACATGTTTAAATGACATAAGATAAAACTTATACATGTATTTGAAATATGTAAAGTATTTGTTGTTGGTTTAAAATGTGTTAGAATTGAATATACATTATAGTACAGGGTCATGTAGGGCCATGATGAAAGGTCATGAAGGACCATGGAAGGTATGATTGAAGATCATGGAGGGTCATGATGGAGGGTCATGAAGGGTCATGATGGAGGGTCATGATGGAGGGTCATGAAGGGCCATAAAGGTTCATGATTGAGGGTTATGAAGAGTAATGATAGAGGGTCATGGATGATCATGTGATTGAAGGTCATTGAGGGTTATGAGGGTCATGGATAGTCATAATGTGTAGTCACTGAGGGTCCTCCTGATGGGTAATGTAGAGTCATGATTAAGGGCCATGATTGAGGGTCATGGAGGGTCATAACGGAGGGTCATGTAGGGTCATGATTAAGGGCCATGATTGAGGGTCTTGGAGGGTCATCATGGAAGGTCATGATTAAGGGCCATGATTGAGGGTCATGGAGGGTCATCATGGAGGGTCATGATTAAGGGCCATGATTGAGGGTCATGGAGGGTCATGATTAAGGGCCATGATTGAGGGCCATGGAGGGTCATGATTAAGGGCTATGATTAAAGGAGATGGAGGGTCACGGGGGTCAGATTAACACAATAATGTAATGATGAAGACCACAAGCTTAAACGATTTATTACTTCATGTAAAGCTACTTATAAATATTCTATTGACATAAAAAGGTGGATAAATGAATGACGTATTACTCTACTCACCCTTATCAACAGCCCATTGTCCTGTGTTAATTTGTCTAGCAGACGACACACATACTATTCCAGTTAGAACTAAAATCACACGCGCATACATTTGTCCCGTTTAACTATAACACTTTGTCTTAGTTAAAGAAACAATATATAACTATAATCCGCGATTAATTGTCAAACGAACAATGTCTGGAATTTACTTCAGATTAATATTTATTCATATGTTATATATTATAAATTAATCATTTACAAAACAATCTGTTTTTTGTTGTTTTTTTTTCAGTTACCTAGACAATGTCTCACTTCAGTCATTGTTTTAATTTTAGTAAATATTTTTTTATCTTTCTTAACGCTAAAATGTTTCCTCTTCTATCAGTTTATATATGATTTTCAATCTCTATTTATATTTAATTAGATAATATATTTTCATCAAGAACTGTCATATTTATAACTCATATCCATGTTTCATTAAATGTTTCTAGTTAGTAACGTATGTCAAACCTGTGTATCTAATATCATTATGAAATTCGTTAAAACACTAAATACGTCAATTTATTTTGACAGATTTTAAAATTATTGACAAATTTAAACTTATAAATGCCCGTGAGCGTTAACGTCAGTTGTGAGGAAGTGCTTTGGGTAAATTTACTTTTATTTTTCACTGGCGAAAATTTGTATACTGTAGACTACAAATACAAGTTTCACGAAAATTTTGAAAATATATTTAAAAGTAAAATATTGTGAAAACAAAAAAGTAATTTAAACATAGCAAACGGCACTTACAATACACGTACATTTCTAAAAAAAAAAGCGGTCAAAATATGAAAAATGGTCGTTACTTCAGTAAAAATATGGTAAATTACTGAAAAAACTCATTAATATCACATATCATGTAAATGTTAACTTAAATCTTGAAGCTTTTACTACTCTTAAAATCTTGGTACATCTTCTTTTTTTGGCTCATCTGGAGACACGCAGTTTTAACATCATAATATAAATGGAGATTCAATTTGTTAAAAACTTTGGCTAACTTAACCAATGCTTAAACGGTCACATGATATGTTATAATACTCGGACACAAACAAGCGATCTATTAATTTACTGATGAAATTAAATGAAAGTCATCACAAGTGATTCGACTAAAGCTTTCTTCATCTCCAAAAACAATTTAATAATACCATTTATAACAACCGGAAATTATATTATTAGTAATAAAGATTTATAAACGTTTGTTTGCATTTACCACCTGAGCCGCTAGACTAAGCCAGTTTATATTATATAGAAAAATGTAGTCCATCTAGATAAGTAAAAACCTTGAATGACCGTTGACCTTTGCCGGGCCTCGTTTTAGCTCGAATGAACACGCCTTGATATGTACGTATGTAACTTTTATTTACGGAAGTGTTTGCATTTTTCCTAAATGACAAATCTAACGTAACCAGCGGAAATAACGTATTTACCTCATGGACTACTGTTGTACAGTTTGTACCGGCGCAGCATTGTCAATTAAGGCATTAATGCGACAAGAAATTGTAATAGAAACAGATATTTTTCTACAGTAGATGTATGTAAAATGTAGAAAGTTGATGATACATGTACATCTTAAAAACTTAATACACCCAGCTATAATATTATATTACTTGGATCTTTGTGAAGCACATATTTCATCATAAGCCATCTTAAACTATGTTCGATCTGTATTAGAAATTATAGCATCGAAATGAGTTTTCAGAATAATTATAACTTGCTATCATGGTAGCATATTGAAACCTTTCTTTCTGTGAGGTTGATGAAGGCACCCCTATAAAAAAAATGTTGAGCGTTCTTTGCGTTAGTTATTCTTTGCGGTAATTTGGCGCAGCCTCCGCCATGTTTTAAGTAGAAAGAATAAAGGCAATGAATTAAGAACATATTCTTTTCTTTTTAGGTAAGTATTTACAAGTTAAAGAAAGAAAAAGACTTTCCTCGATAGGTTTATTCATTGTATTTTTTTATCGTAACTGTTATCAATGACATTGTATTGTTTAGCTTGCAAACATGTTTAAAGTTGAGAGTCATATGTTTTCGCGGATAAACGTTTTACATACCTATTTTGATATTCATCTATATATCATCATATTTTTACTGTTAATTGTTAATACGCATTTTATATGATAACTATGAATTTTTTGTAAGTAAAAGACAGTTTAATAATTGTTTAGACAATTATTTAGAATAGCATGTTTTATGCACAGGCACGAGTATCGTGAGTGGTGAGTGGTCCAACTTAACGTATTTAGTAATATTATTTAGTAAATTCAAGTGATTTTGACCCATACTCAGCTGACAAACATGTCTTAGTCTATGTTTACGTACCGAATCGTTGTGCCGCAATTCTGTCTACCAAGGATTTTTAGCACGAATTCGCTCGTTTCCTGATAGATATTTCATGAACGGGAAGGGCTAGAGACTTGGGGTCGGTCTCATTTGGAAGCTTAATACAAACGTGAAATAGTGATAAAAGTCGTTTTTAATTGTCCGGCCAATTGTTTTCACAACGGCTCGGGAAATGAATCCCTTGCTCGTAGGCTCGAATCTGGAGTTTCCGGCCTTCTCTTAACTTATAGTATATTTTAAAGGGGGTCATTTTTTTTTTTTTTTTTTTTTGGTTTTTGACACTTTTAAGATGAACAAAGGTTTTATTATCAATCTGGTCATATTTTTTCATCCCAGGTCCGATACTCGTGCCTGTGGTTTTATGCCATATTTGGAAAAAGCTCGGTAAATGAACCCAAAGGCAATTAAACGACATAAAGTCGAACATGTAAATTATTGTTTGAACATTACTAAATAAACGACATAAAGTCGAACATATAAAATATTGTTTTGAACATTGTATATATGCTATTTGTCTAACTGAGCATATGAAAATTCATTATTATCTTTCATCTTTTGTTAAGTATATACAGTTATAAGTGCCAAATTAATTGATTGTCAGTATTATCATTTGTGTCAATGATTTAGATTGTTATTGTTTTATGCATAATAGTAAATTCTCAAGTTAAGTATCTATAGTAGCAGTTTAGTAATCATCAGTTTAATATGTTTTTATTTCAATCAGATATATAAATAATTAAGGTTGTGTTGTTAATCAGGTTATTATTATTCATTCCAAACATTTTACATTGCAGTATTATAATGATAATGATTTATATTTTAATACTCTTTGCATGTACCCCTAGACATGAGTAAACTTGAAACGTTGTTATATTTTTAGTTGAACAATTAGTTAAATGTTTTTATGCCACATGTTGTTATGCAACGGCAGTCTCCGCCATGTTTTAAGTGGAAAGAATAAAGGCAATGAATTAAGAACATATTCTTTTCTTTTTAGACTCCGTATCATATCTACAATTTGACCCGGCCAACATTTCTTTCTCTCTACCATATTACTTATAAAATCTACTTCGTTTGTAAAATGTGGTGATATTATACAGTCTTTCGTGCACTTATTATATACCTTTTTTCGGGCTAAAGGCCGGTCGTTTTTCAGTTTGACTTCCTGTAAAATTTACAAGGAAGAACTGAATATTAGAAGAATTTTCATTGGTCACTTTAAAATTACAAAATGAAACCTTGGAATATCATAGTTCTTGACCATTATATTATAAAATGTAAAGGATAATTCTAAAATAAAATGTACAGGGTAGCTCTTTACTTTTGTAGTTAAATTGCTCTGATATTTAAGTTCTGTTTAACAATACTTCTTGCATTCAGATCTCATTATATTTTCTAGTGAACAGTCTATTTTACACAAAATCTGAGTTTTAAATTTTTTCCAGTAGATATCTAAGGTAGAAGCAAAGGCAATAACTGATCTATCTTACCATTAGAGTGTAAGTAAAGAAAACACTAGTTTATTTAACCATTAGAGTGTAAGTAAAGAAAACACTAGTCTATTTAACCATTAGAGTGTAAGTAAAGATAACACTAGTCTATTTAACCATTAGAGTGCAAGTAAAGATAACACTAGTCTATTTAACCAGTAGAGTGTCAGTAAAGATAACACTAGTCGATCTTTCCATTAGTGTGTAAGTAAAGAAAACACTAGTCTATTTAACCATTAGAGTGAAAGTAAAGGTAACACTATGCTATCTAACCATTAGAGGGTAAGTAAAAATAACACTTGTCTATTTGACAATTAGAGTGAAAGTAAAGATAACACTAGTTTAATTAACTATTAGAGTGTAAGGTAAGATAACACTAATCTATCTTACCATTAGAATGTTGGTAAAGATAACACTAGTCTATCTTACCATTATAGTGTAAGTAAAGATAACAGTAGTCTATATAACCATTAGAGTGTATGTAAAGAAAACTTTCGTTTATTTAACCATTTAAGTTTAAGTAAAGATAACACTAGTCTATCTTACCATTAGAGTGTAAGTAAAGATAACGGTAGTCTATATAACCATTAGAGTGTATGTAAAGAGAACACTAGTCTATCTTACCATTAGAGTGTAAGTAAAGATAACGGTAGTCTATATAACCATTAGAGTGTATGTAAAGAGAACACTAGTCTATCTAACCATTAGAGTGTAAGCAAAGAGAACACTAGTCTATATAACCATTAGAGTGTATGTAAAGATAACGGTAGTCTATATAACCATTAGAGTGTATGTAACGAGAACATAAGTCTATCTAACCATCAGAGTGTAAGCAAAGAGAACATTTGTCTATCTAACCATTAAGGTAATAACCGTTACAGTGCAAGCAAAGACAGAGGCAAGACAATCTACCCCGAATTGTGCAAGCCAAGATAACTATCTTACTTTAGGCCAGCTTGTACATAATTTTATCTTCACACTCAACCATTGCTTATTCAGTTTTTGCTACCATTTATGTGAAATATTTTATGTTACTAATTCGGTGTTCAAATTCTTAGCAGAACAAGTATTTAGACTGGTGTTATATATGAATTAATGCCAGTATATTTATCTTTAAGGTACAATAAGGCACATTGTCCCTATATATGTTCCTGAAACTTGGAGGAGTTAGAATAATTCATACAACTGTAAAATGACCTTTTATTTCATAGATTAAAAGACTACATTCTTTGTACATAATATGATATAAAACACAATGTATTATCTACATGTGGTGAGTAGCTGTGTATACCGGGAATCAGCCACGTATTTTACCTACAGAAAAATACCACTTTAACTCATCCGTCCCAAAATAGTCTGGCGGCTTATCTTGAAAGAACTCAAACCTGTTGTCAAGCATGTATTGCGAATAACACTTATCAATGTTGTAGAACCTGTACATTAGTGACGTCACAGGCCCAGGATTTAAAGAATTACCCAGAACACTGAGGTAATTACTACCGAAATTTCTAAATGCATTGGATTCTGGTGTTTCGGTCCATTTATTATACCAGACGTTTACATCGGAAAGCCACTTGTTTTTGCCACACTTGGACCTCACAACACATCTCTTTCTGCATGCTTCAACTTGAAAGGCAAGGTCCAGAATAATTTCTTTGGCACATGCTTGTATATGCCTGCTCTCGTCAGAATGGGTCTTATCTTTGCAAGTTAAATGATGAGCCATTAATTCAGTTTTGATTCTTCGAGATGAAATGTTAACATTGTGGATGCAACCACTACAAAACTTTTTTAAACGCTCATCTTTGTCATTTCCATTGATCAAATGTTTAACAAACTTGTACACGACTCTATGGTGCGGTGAAATTACATCGTTTATTACCTGCAGTTCAGTTTCTGCGAATGATATTTTGGAAAAGTTCATTATAACAAAACTTGATGTTTCACCTATAAAACGGTTGAAATCAGGTAGGGAAGAACAAATATCATTTTGTTGAAGAGTTTCTACAGTGAGAAACGAATCATTAACTTTAAAGGCTGGATAAAGGTTTACTATGATTTCATGTTTATGTCCAATTTCGTTCTTGTACTCAAATTGCAGCTTTATTGATGTTGCTGAATCGGTACCTTCTTCATATATACTATCAAATTTTAGGTGAACCGTTGAATTTTCAATCACATATTTATCTGGTTCTGAGAAAATTTGGCGACATAAAAGTGCCCTGAAGATAGACACAAAGTCCTTCCCTTTGCTTTGAAGAAATAGACTTATCGCCGACATACCAATGGTTTCAAATATTCCAGCAATATAGATGAAATCAAAACTATCTGAGTAATAATTCTTTGTCCCCTCATAAAAACTTCCAACTTTGATCAGCTTTTCAGTCGTGTGTTGTTCTTTTAGTTTAAGTTTATCCTTATAGTAATGGGAACAACTTGCACGTATATTCTCTATCCAATCTGCCTTCATTTTGTCCACATCGTCCTCTTGATGTTCGGCTATATCGTTAACGATATCAGCGAGCAATGTTTCCACTCCAGTCTGGATAAATTCTACTTCGCTAACCCTAATATTAAACTCTATATCTTTGAGATGTTTTGCTATATATGCATCATTATCAGCTACTGCGCTATTACTCGCACCCATATTTGATCAAAGGTTAGCTTATTTTCTGCAAACAAAAAAGAAAATCTACTTAATGCAAAACAAAGCGCCAGCAGTGAAACTCAATCATGCAAAAATACACACGTGCACAGGCATGACAACAATCAAAACTGACTAAACATATTTACCTACGCGATATTAATGTAAATCCGTACTTTTTTAATTATCCGCACATTCTACCCGCTTATTTTATCAATGATTTTAAAGCATAAAATACAATCTCTAGTCCAATACAATCATACGAAAATGACAAGACAAAAGCCGACCAGAACAAACAAATGTAAATTATTTTGTTAGTAAGTTTTTGTTCTTTTTTTATGCTAATTTCACACAAAATGTTAAAATCATAAAATCACTTACATCGTGTCTCTGCTCCGATGATTTAGATATATTATACATTAAAGATATATGAATATCTTGAATAACGTACAATGCACATTCAAGTTATGATGAATGTACTGAAATATAGTATGTTAGAACAGTGGAATGAATGAAATACCCGAGCCGAAGTAAATGATTTAATACACGGAGTTAAAGATTCAAAACGTAAACCTCGTACATGTATCATGTTACAAGAGTGACAAAAAGTATGGAGGCTATTCGTTGCCAAAAATCCAGCCTTTTTGATCTGAGTTGAACAGTTCGTTAACGGACAAAATACAATTGTATTTCTTTGTATGTAAACTCCAATATTGCATTATTGGATTGAGTTTACCGATATAACATTGTAAACATGCATTTCAACAAAATACATTTTGTAAAACGACAAAACGTTAACGGATAGTAGCAATACCAAGTGTTCGAATACTTATTGTTCGTGTATACGCCGACAAAACAGAAGTTACACTCTTAGCTTTACATTGTCGAACCATCATGATTTTGGATCAGCATAATCCAGCTTTACACGTTTTTCAATAGGAGATAAAATAAGCTCCGCCCATTTTCCCGCCCACTACATCATCGTAAATAAACGTATTAATCCGCTCATTTTCGGTATTTACCGTCGGCGACAAGAAGCGGCGTAGTTTCCGTTTACCATACCTTTTAGGTGTTAAGTTATTCACAAAACATAATGCACATGCATGATTGCCATTCTATGCCTTTATACAATCAACATCAGCGGATTTTATCCGTTTGAAACTTACCGCCTTGCCAATCCACTTTCAAAGGAATACCGATTGTGTAAGATTATGTTGTATCATAGTTTGGGGACCTTTCTGTTGAAAATGTGTCACAGTTGAATCGTATACATACATTGCACAGTGCGTTAACTGGAGTGCAGGTACAGTAAACTTCACTTATAGCGAACACGGATATAGCGAACTTCCGGTTATAAGAAGAACAAGGCCCGAATTTTGCCCTTCTTTATTTAATATAAAAATATACCGTTATTGCGAACATGGTTAAAAGGAATTATCGCTTATAAGGAACCCATTTCTTAGTATTTCTAAAGTAAATGTGTTGTGAAGAACGATGTACAGCACCCAAGTCAGTCCTATATACTAATATATTTTTATCTTTACAAGTTAAATGGTGATACTGCACATCAAAGACGCCGCCAAATGATGTGAACAGTCATATGCTATCTTGAAAATCGTTCTCTATTATCCGATTAGCACTAATCAATTTTGTCTCCATGTTCTTGGTATGTGCTCGTTGTTAAATAATTAAGTTGCATATTTTGTGAAAAAGTAGAACCTAATGCTTAAATTCATAAAGTAATGTTATGTCTGAAATTCTGAAATGTTTGGCTGTTGCGACAGAAATGGAAAGGTCTGGTAGAAGCAAAATAAATTGGATAACAAGTAAAATTTAAATGATTGGTATACTTAAGATAAATTCAAGACAAAGAGAGAGGTAAAGAAAAATATCTTCGTTTCGCCGAGAATATGTCCATTTAAATATTGATGCGAATTGCATAATGTTCGAATGACGAACTTTTCTGTTATTTTACAAATAACAAAACTATATCTGTAATATCAAAATAATAGGTATGAATAAATTGTTAAATATAATGTAAGTAAGGACAACACTGGACTATTTTACCATTACAGTGCAAGTAAAGAGAATAAAATATTTGTCTGACTCTTACAGTGTTAGCAGAGAGAACACTAGTCTATATAACCAATAGAGTGTACGTAAAGAAAACATAAGTTTATACATACTATTACAGTGAAAGTAAAGATAACACTAGTCCATGTAACCATTAGAGTGTAAGTAAAGATAACACTAGTCTATATAACCAATAGAGTGTAAGTAAAGAAAACATAAGTTATTACATACTATTAGAGTAAAAGTAAAGATAACACTTGTCTATATTTCCATTAGAGTGAAATTAAAGATAACACTAGTCTATATTTCCATTAGAGTGTAAGTAAAGATAACACTAGACTATATTTCCATTAAAGTGAAAGTAAAGATAACGCTAGTCTATATTTCCATTAGAGTGTAAGTAAAAAAACACTAGTCTATATAACCATTAGAGTGTAAGTAAAGATGACACTAGTCTATATAACCAATAGAGGGTAAGTAAAGGTAACACTAGTCTATATAACCAATAGAGGGTAAGTAAAGATAACACTAGTCTATATTTCCATTAGAGTGTAAGTAAAGAAAACATAAATTTATCCATACTATTAGAGTGAAAGTAAAGATAACAGTAGTCTATATTTCCATTAGAGTGTAAGTAAATAAAACATAAGTTTATCAATACTATTAGAGTGAAAGTAAAGATAACACTTGTCTATATTTCCATTAGAGTGAAATTAAAGATAACACTAGTCTATATTTCCATTAGAGTGTAAGTAAAGATAACACTAGACTATATTTCCATTAAAGTGAAAGTAAAGATAATGCTAGTCTATATTTCCATTAGAGTGTAAGTAAATAACACTAGTCTATATAACCATTAGAGTGTAAGTAAAGATGACACTTGTCTATATAACCAATAGAGGGTAAGTAAAGGTAACACTAGTCTATATAACCAATAGAGGGTAAGTAAAGATAACATAAGTCTATATAACCATTAGAGTGTAAGTAAAGATGACACTAGTCTATATAACCAATAGAGGGTAAGTAAAGATAACACTAGTCTATATTTCCATAAGAGTGTGAGATAAGAAAACATAAGTTTATACATACTATTAGAGTGAAAGTAAAGATAACACTAGTCCATGTAACCATTAGAGTGTAAGTAATGATAACACTAGTCTATATAACCAATAGAGTGTAAGTAAAGAAAACATAAGTTTATACATACTATTAGAGTGAAAGTAAAGATAACACTAGTCTATATAACCATTAGAGTGTAAGTAAAGAAAACACGAGTTTATTTAACAATTAGAGTGTAAGAAAAGATAACGCAAGTCTATTTATCCATTAGAGTGTAAGTAAAGATAACACTAGTTTATATTTCCATAGGAGTGTAAGTAAAGAAAACATAAGTTTATCTTTACTATTAGAGTGAAAGTAAAGATAACACTAGTCTATTTAACCATTAGAGTGTAAGTTAAGATGACACTAGTCCTTTTAACCATTAGAGTGTAAGTAAAGATGACATTAGTCTATATAACCATTAGATTTTAAGTAAAGATAACACTAGTCCATCTAACCATTAGAGTGTAAGTTAACATAACACTAGTCTATACAACCATTAGAGTGTAAGTAAAGATAACACTAGTCCATCTAACCATTAAGTGTAAGTAAATATAACACTGGTCTATATAACCATTAGAATGTAAATAAATATAACACTAGTCTATCTAACCATTAGAGTGTAAGTAAATATAACACTAGTCTATCTGACCATTAGAGTGTAAGTAAAGATGACACTAGTCCATCTAACCACTAGAGTGTAAGTAAAAATAACACTAGTCTATCTAACCATTAGAGTGAAAGTAAAGATAACACTAGTCAATCTTACCATTAAAGTGAAAGTAAAGAAAACACTAGTCTATCTAACCATTAAGGTAATAACCGTTACAGTGCAAGCAAAGACAGAGGCTAGTCTATCTACCCCGAAGTGTGCAAGCCAAGATAACTATCTTACTTTAGGCCAGCTTGTACATAATTTCATCTTCACACTCAACCATTGCTTATTCAGTTTTTGCTACCATTTATGTGAAATATTTTATGTTACTAATTCGGTGTTCAAATTCTTAGCAGAAAAAGTCTTTAGGCTGGTATTATATATGAATTAATGCCAGTATATTTATCTTTTAAGATATACAATAAGGCACATTGTCCTTATATATGTTCCTGAAACTTGGAGGAGTTACCTTTAAAAAAATTCACTCCTTGATAGAGACTTTATATATAGAATAATTTATACAACTGTAAAATGACATTTTATTTCATAGATTAAAAGACTACATTCTTTGTACATAATATGATATAAAACACAATGTATTATCTACATGTGGTGAGTAGCTGTGTACACCGGGAATCAGCCACGTATTTTACCAACAGAAAAATACCACTTTAACTCATCCGTCCCAAAATAGTCTGGCGGTTTATCTTGAAAGAACTCAAACCTGTTGTCAAGCATGTATTGCGAATAACACTTATCAATGTTGTAGAACCTATACATTAGTGACGTCACAGGCCCAGGATTTAAAGAATTACCCAGAATACCCAGGTAATTACTACCGAAATTTCTAAAGTCGTTGGATTCTGGTGTTTCGGTCCATTGATTATACCAGACGTTTACATCGGAAAGCCACTTGTCTCTGCCACACTTGGATCTCACAACACATCTCTTTCTGCATGCTTCAACTTGAAAGGCAAGGTCCAAAATAATTTCTTTGGCACATGCTTGTACATGCCTGCTCTCGTTAGAATGGGTCATATCTCTGCAAGTAAAGTGATGAGCTATTAATTCAGTTTTGATTCTTCGAGACGAAATGTTAACATTGTGGATGCAACCACTGCAAAACTTTTTTAAACGGTCATCTTTGTCATTTCCATTGATCAAATGTTTAACAAACTTGTACACGACTCTATGGTGAGGTGAAATAACATCGTTTATAAACCGCAGTTCAGTTTCTGCGAATGATATTTTGGAAAAGTTCATTATAACAAAACTTGATGTTTCAACTATAAAACGGTTGAAATCAGGTAGGGAAGAACAAATATCATTTTGTTGTAGAGTTTCTACAGTGAGAAACGAATCATTAACTTTAAAGGCTGGATAAAGGTTTACTCGGATTTCATGTTTATGTCCAATTTCGTTCTTGTATTCAAATTGCAGCTTTATTGATGTTGCTGAATCGGTACCTTCTTCATATATACTATCAAATTTAAGTTGACACTTTGAACTTTTAATCACATATTTATCTGGTTCAGAGAAAATTTGGCGACATAAAAGTGCCCTGAAGACAGACACGAAGTCCTTCCCTTTGCTTTGAAGAAATAGACTTATCGCCGACATACCAATGGTTTCAAATATTCCAACAATATAGATGAAATCAAAACTATCTGGGTAATAATTCTTTGTTCCCTCATAAAAAC